TTAGATTTCCATTTTTTTTTAAATGTATGTACATTTATACCACTATACTTTGCATTATATTAGTCTACCTTTCCATCAAATTACAAAAAAAAGCTGTTTCTAATACAGTGGATGTGGTCAAATTGATATCTTTCTCTCTTCTGACTGCCATTACTCTCTCTATTCTTACCCCCTATTTGTGAACATTGTGGAAACATATTGTAGTTTTTTTCTTTTGCTATTTGAACAAATGGGAACACAAAAATATATTTAATGTGTTCTCCCATTCACCGTTATAGAAGTTTACCCGCTTCTGAGAAATCCGGAAAATCGAAAAATAAAATTTCTCCTGTAAGTTTATTAAACACATGTTGACCTTTGTGACAACATGCCCCAAGGTCACACAATAGGGGATAAGTAATCACAATAAACAGCCTATTTTAGGATTTTCAGCCAAATTCTAAACAGCACAACATGATACATATAAAACCATTTTTAAAATAACTCAACAAATGTATATAGTGTTGATAAAACTATAAAAAAAAAACATTCATTAACATTCATAAGCTAAAGTGCCAGGATTCTGAGCAGGACCAGAAAATATGAACATATCACACCAGTCCTCTGGGTAAATGTAACTGTCTCCCAGATTGATTTTAAAGTATTATTACTAGTATATAAATTATGCAATGGGCTAGGACCTCCAATATATTGCAGATATGCTCACTGAATATAAACCTAACAGATCACTTAGATCATTAGGATCACATCAGCTAGGAACACCAAGGGTTCACTCAAAGCATGGCGAGTCCGCTTTTACCTATTATGCCTCAGACACAAAACACTTCTGTTTAGCTGTGCATTAACTGAATGAGGACTGTGCCACTGTTCGTCCGAGTCGGTCCGACTGTTACTGTAGTTTATTTTTAATTATTCTTATTTGTTATTATTTAAATTTCTTCTATGTAAAGCACTTTGAATTACCATTGTGTATCATATGCGCTATATAAATAAACGTGCTTTGCCAAAATAAAATAAAAGGGACATTTTAGATGGAAAAACTCGAAAAAGCTCAAACATAAAAAAATGAAAGCTACTGCAAAATATGAACAAATACTATATTAGTATCAATGCTAAAATAACATTTTTGCCAAGTTAGGAAACTCTTAACAAGCATTTATGATAAACAGTGATAATAGTCTCACTATGTCCTAAAGTTTCAATGGCCATGATGTGCATGTGAAAGAAAACAGTGGAAACAGACAAACATTTTTCTCATTTTATTGAACACAAGAATTTTTTTGACAGAATGAAGTCAGATATTGTTGTCGGTTAGTATTTACAGCAGTGGCAGTGGGGGGTGGGGTGGGTGGAGGTGACATTTGATTTGTAAAAATCTGTATACAGCTGTGAGAAGGGCCTCTTGGTAGGGTATGGAGGGATGGATGTCTTATACAGGTCTGAGATGAGAGCGAGATGATGACAGAAACGTGTGATTTGCTCAGGCGAGGAGCTTTTAATGCTTTCGTTTGAACAGACTTTTGTCTTTAAAGTGGCATGATTGAGGCGGTAAACTGAGTAAATGTACAAAAAATTTGGTCCCATGTTAAATGGCAGTATGAATCAAAAGCTTGTTTTTTTTTTTAGAGAGATCACAAGGAAGAGCTTGTATGCCTCCCGGTACAGTTTCTACAAGCCTCTCAGATGCTTATTAAACTGGAATCCTGCTGGAAACACGTTCAAAGAACTTTCATTATTAATAATTACATTACAAACGCTTAACAGAACACAAACGTACATTCAAAGAGTTTGAAATGTCATGAAACGATTATTTATATATCTGTTCATGAACATACGGATTTGTTACATAATGTTGAACGACTTAATAATGAAAGTTGTTGAAAAGTGTTACCGTCCAACGGCATGAAAGCAAAAGTGACAGCAGTGAGTGTTTGAATGACGTGTTCACTGACATTCAGAAAAATGTACAACAAATAATGCTTTGACATTTTCACTTAGTTAGCAATTCAATCGGTAACCTTAACACCAAAATGACATCCAGTTCAGAATACATTGCATGCTTGTTTCAGGTTTAAAAATAGGCATTTGACCGAATGGGATGAACAAGTGATTTTGTAATTAAATGGTGGATGAGCAGGCAAACCCTCGGGCGCCCAGACAAAACGCATCGAGAGAGTTTTCTATGTGAATATATTTATATTTATAAATGTGTGTATATTTATATATATACGTCTTGTTTTGCATCAGTTAGAAAGAGGCAAGTTGTTGATAATTTGAGAACTTGAGTTTTAAGAAAACCACGATTTACACCCTCAAGGCCTGTTCACACCGGGATGAATTTCAGGCGCGATTTAAAAAAAAAACGCCTAGGGTTCATTTTTTTAGTTTGATGCGGCACGTCAAAAACTATCCGACCAATGAGAATGGTACTTTTGCACATGTGTCTGGAGCTTCTGAAGTTACAGTAAAACACAACTTGGGGGCGCTAAAACACAAAACGGTCTTGCCAAGCACACATACGTAACGGAGAAGAACATCTACGCCAATTATCGTAGCCCATAGATATCCACAAAAGAGGCTAGATGTCTTACGGCGGAGTTTCTATCGTCATCACCGGCGGCCATCTTGTCACAGGCAAGCTGATGTAAAATGAGTTATCAGCAAGAACACAAATACTTGAAATGTTTACGGATTTACAAATGGTTTGGTTTCTCACAAACGTTATTAACGTGGCTATAATTCTGGATGATTATTTATTTATACACTTATTCATAAGTATGGAGTGTCATAACTACATCTCTGACGTTTATAACAAACCAAACTGTTTGAAAATCGGTAGAAAATTGAGCAAGTTATGGTTATTTAAAAAGCACAAGCACCATAAAAACAATAATACGAGTGAGCGAGCTGCCTGTGACAAGATGGCCGCCAGGTGCAGACGTCGACCTCCATTGGCCAGTAGTGTGGACGAGATATCCAGCCTTTATTGTGGATATCTATGGCGTAGCCGTCTACACTGCCAGGAAGAGATAAGACGAGGAAGATGCAAGGCAAGATGAATGTAGAGCTGCTGGTCTCGTTGGTGTGACATATGACTGTAAGTGGTATTGCAGAGGAAATGGGCGCCATCTAATGTCAAGGAATGAATTTGCATGTTCACTCGGCTCATCGTCAGCGAAAATCGCTTGGGTGTGAACACAAAAAACGCTGGCGAATAACATGCACCGATATTCATCCCGGTGTGTACGGCCCTAAGACCAAGTGACGACACGTTTGAGCAAAAAACCAAAACTATTATTTTCACAGTTTACAGATCTGGAGCATCTGACAGCGTTGGGGTATGTTGTCACAGAGACAGCAGGCCTGCATACGAGAGGATGTTTATATTGAAGGCACCAACTCCTTTTGTGTCCGTTTTTCACTTCTGCTGCCATTGTGGTTTTTGTTGTTGTTGTTTTTTTTTTTTACATCTTTTTTTTTTATTCTTATCATGAAGAACATCATTTCAACTAACAGCTACAGCTTTCACGACCTATGGAAACGTTTTTTTTAATTCTATTACAAAGAACACACTGTATTGACACTAGGATTTTCACGCATTCACAGTGCACAAGCTTGCAGCCTAAAGAATTAGAAACACTGTACAAAAAAAAAAAATCAGGCTGAATATTCTTAACGCTACGATCCACACCGGAGTACTATGGCTTAAATAAAAAAACAAAAAAAAACAAGAATTTGGCTATTTATGACATAAAAATCAAAACAAACATTTTATTTTTGCATCGGAATCGAAAGGGGCAGGGCTTCATTTTAATGCAACGTTTATCAATTATGTGGGCAAATGCCAGAGGAGCAACTTAAAGGACGTCCCGTGAGTGTTACGCACAGCAGTACTAGGCCATGAGTGTAACAGCTGTATCTGCATTTAACGTAGCAGCAATGCTTATCCATATCTAAGAGCTCCGGGTTTTTGCTAATGTTTTTTTAAAGGACTTTGCGGGACATTTTTAAGCGAGAATCACTGCGGGAGTCCTCTTTGACTCTCAAATCTTGCTTTAAAGACGTGAATTAAATGGAAGAAACGACAAATTCGGGGGAAATGGGATGCGTTTGTAATGTGAAAGAACGCACAAGGAACGAGTATGACGATTTGTAAAACGCTAACCGCTAGTTCAGACCTCTACACTGTGTAATCTTTTAAGTCGGCTTTTGCTAGAGAAGCAAACGGCGTGTTAATGCGGGATATGCTGTAAACACTCGGGGCTGGAATAAAACAAACCAAAAAAGGACACATCGAAAAATAATTCGGCAAAGCAAGCAAGCTAAAAATCTATCGTTAAAAAAACAAACAAAAAAAAACAATGTGAAAAATAAAGTAAAATAAAATGTCGGTTGCTTTTGTACATTACTTAAAGGGTTAGTTCACCCAAAAATGAAAATTAAGTCATTAATTACTCACCCCCATGCTGTACCAACCCCGTAAGACCTTCGTTCGTCTTTGGAACACAAATGAAGATATTTTTGATTAAATTTGAGAGCTGTATAACTACCACATTGGCTCCCAAAGGACTGCCTCTTGACGGCCCAGAAAGTCAATGAAGAAAATGTTTAAATATCCCAAGTGACTACCGTGGCTCAACTATATGTTTATCAAGCGACGCGAATACTTTTTGTGCGAAAAAACAAACAAAAATAACGAGTTTATTCGACTATTTCTTTTCTTCCTTGTAGGCCAGAACGAGACTTCCTTAGATTTCCACGACGCATGCGCGAGAATTGCGATCTGCTCACACCAGCTTACACTACTTCAGATCGCAAATCTCGCGCATGCGTCGTGGAAATCTAAGGAAGTCTCGTTCTGGCCTACAAGGAAGAAAAGAAATAGTCGAATAAACTCGTTATTTTTGTTTGTTTTTTCTCTCAAATTTAATCAAAAATATCTTCATTTGTGTTCCGAAGACGAACGAAGGTCTTACGGGGTTGGTACAGCATGGGGGTGAGTAATTAATGACTTAATTTTCATTTTTGGGTGAACTAACCCTTTAACCAAAAGTAAAACATCAAAACTGTTCCCAAAAAAAATATTATTATGTGGCAGACAATAACGATGGCAATACTGCATGTAATAAGACGAAACATAACTGAAACAGCACTGTGGTTTGAATGTGTGAAGGCAAAATCTACGGTTCCTGACGGTGACTGACTTCTCATACTGAACATCTTTGAAAGACACTGAGGTCAAGGAGACTAGAGCTGAAGAATCATTCCTTCTTGCGTTTATGAAAGACACTTTTCAATACTAATAACAAAGGGAAAGTAAAAAATAAAAGGCATGTGCGCAAACTCTTTAGGCGCTCTATACATCTACAGACGTGTTTTGATCTGTGAACTCAAAGAAGACACTGAAGAAAGAAACCCTTATATTTGAGACGTGGTGGTGTGGTTCTGTCTGTCTGCGCTGTCGTGCGCTCGCCCATTCCGGATCACGCTTTGCTCTCGTTGCCGTTCGTCTGAGGGGCTTCATTGGGGACTGTCTTCACCTCCGCCGGGGTTTTCTTTACCTCCGTCTCTGGCACTTTGCTTTTGTCATCTACAATGAGTTTTCCACTGGGGGAGAAAACGGAAAAGAGAGGTTCATCAGCAGTGTCTTTCAGTCTTCTGTTCGGCTGCTTCCTCTCTTTATACTACAGTATTTCCAAGGATACGCTCAGCCAAAAATGAATGTTCTGTCAGGATTATTCACCCTCATAACCTGAATGAATTTCTTTCTTTCTTCAGGGGAACACAAAAGATGGATTCTTGAAAAATATCCCAGGCCTTCTATACAATATCATGAAAGACTGGAGCTTTCACGTTCCACACCATAAAAGTGATCCACATGACTCATGTTTATTGTCAATGTTACATGGTAGACCTAGGTTTCCTTGGTTCGAGAAGCAATGTATTGATTTGTGAAGGTATGAGTCAAATCTTGCTGATGAATAGGGTTGGGTATCGTTTGAATTTGAACGATTCTGATTCCGATTCCTTGTTTCGATTCCGGTTCCTAACGATTCTCGATTCCGATTCTTTTAAGAGGCAGGGTCAAAAAAGTTTAGCTAACCTTGCTAACCAACGGCCTTTCTGAAGGAAATAATCTCCTCCTCCTTCTGTAAAAATACTCCTTTTGTCACAAATTTTGCATTTTGCCGATATTTCGTTATTTTTAGAAAAGTGAAGCCACACTTTGGATCGCCGACGTAAGGTACTCATGTTCGACTCGCGTGGTTATGCCAACACTTCCGGTAGACGCTTCTTCGTTGATGTTGTTCAGCGGTTTCTTCTTCCGGTCGGCGGACTGTGAATATCGAAACTAGGAATCGAAATTTTATTTTTTGAACGATTTCGGGAAAAACGAAAAGTTAGTCTCGGTTCCAATCGATACTCGATTCTCGATACCCAACCCTACTGATGAATCAGTTCAATGAATTAATTAAACTGTTCGAACGTTTTTGAAGGAAGTCTCTTATGCTCTCCAAAGTTGCATTGATTTGAACAAATACAGTTAATACATCTTTTTTATTTTAACATACTTAATTCTAAGATGGCAGAGCGTATTTTTTAGCATCATGCTGTCATGCCGATTAGATACTCATAAAACATTTCTTATTATTATAATCATGGTTGAAAACAGATGTGCTGTAACAATGTCACTTTTGTAACAATGTAAGTCTTTGATCAATTTAATGCATCCTTGTTGAATGAAAGTATGAATTTCATTCAAAAAAATAAAAATATCCCTTCTCACACCAAGCTTTTGAACAGTATAATGCATGAGTCATATGGATCACTTTTATGATGCTATGATACAAGTACTGTTCGTTTTAACCGCTCGTTTCGTGTCTTAGGCCATCAATGTGTACTTACATTTATGAGTCATTAAATCATGTTTAATTTGGACTTCTCTGTGCATGCTCTTTGAGGTGGTGACCATAGACCTCCATTATATGACTGATAGACACGAATGGTTTGACCTAAAAATATCAAAATTGACACCTACATCTTGGATGCCCTCGAGGTAAGCTAAAACATATCAAAAACTAATTTCAAAGTGAACTATCCCTTTAAGCTGGAAAGCTACATTCCCTAGCCTAGTCAACGTAACTGTATAGAAAAGAGCAATGAGTATATGATTAAACACCTTCTTTGATGAAAACAAAGGGTGAATAAATCATAACAAATGTTCATTTTCGGGTGAACTGTCCCTTTAAGAATTGAGGAAAACGACTTCAGTGTAGCCAATCGATTTCACAGCCCACAGGATCTGCTTGGTTATCTTACGCTAACATTAAATATTATTCATGAGCATGTATGAAGACAGAGGAACAGTGCATGCGGGTATGATTCATAATATCCTGGGACAGTAACAGCAGGACATTGGAGCAGAGAGTTGCCCTTCTGCTGTATAGACTCAGAGACAATCCTCCTAAACGACAGGCATGTTAACCTCTCCCTCTGCGCTTATTGCCTGTGTAATAGTTTGTTGATACACAGAGCGCTTGTCTCTTGGGGTCGGGCTGGAGCAAAACGCATAATAATAAATAATAAATCATAAATAAATGAAAATCATCAGCCGCAAACAGCCCATTACTGAATATTTTACAGGCCCATAGACATTTGTTCTCAAGGGAGCTGACAGAGCACATACTGGGTCTTGAAAAAAAAAAAAAAAAAAAAGGAAGTTTACTTAAATTATTTCGCAGTAGGCTGATTCTTTCCAAGGGCTGATAATTCTTGTAATGGGATTGACTGTACTAGTGTGCCAAAGCATTCATAAATGCATAATGAACCACGGAAATTAAAGATGAGCTTAGGTGGCAGGGAATCGTGAGGAACAGTCCATGTCGCCTTTTTAACACGTTCCCTACAGCCCTATTTTTAGACACCTGTCCCGCTGTAGGGCTGATATCAGCTGTGAATGACAGTTCATTATATTCGTCAAACATGCCCAGACAGCTCCTTTCATGCAGTGGCGTGGGACCAACATTGGCGGTGTCGAGCTCTCCCGGATACGCCACAGAGAGAGGCTTTGTGAAAAAGAGAATAGTGAGGCTTCTCGAGTTGCAATCTACACGATCTCGGTTGGTACGACACGAGAGCAGGCTGCTTTGACCGTGTCCGAGGTCTGCGCTGTTTGTCCCCTCGGCCGTATGTCATTACGCTCATCACAATAAAGCTATCTGATCATATTCTGGGCTCTTATGAAGAGCGGCCGAGTGCGAAGAGTCCCGGCAAAGGACTGTGGCGGACACAAAAGCATCATGAGTGAGCTGGCGTTTCAAGCTAACCTTAGAAGAAGGGACAAGCGCGATCTGTCAGTTTGCATCCGTTGCGAAACGTGCAAACTCTCATTCTTTTAAGGAGGGAGTATTGAGAGTTCCATTGATATTCTGCAGGTTTTGTGGGAACCAGGGAAGAGCTCAGGTAGTTGAATATCTACAGACGGAGCCAATAAGCCCAGGTGGCAGCCAATGAAAGGAAGCTTCCCTGGAGTGTTCTAGCTCAAATTAGACAAGTGAGCCGAGCCGAGAGAGAGAACAAGCCTGACGTGCTGACTGGGACGGCTGGGCCATTCAGAGAACGTGCAAACTACTGAGCACGAATGGAAGTGGGGAAAACATAGTCTCTGGTAAATATTTAACAAACGCCATGCTCCCGTTAATTCCCTGCTGGAAGTCTTGGCTGACTGTTTAACAGCCGATTTTCTCTGCACTTCGCAACCGAGCGAGAGAGTTTTGCTTCTGAGGAGGCTGATTCGTGCGAGTCTGGAGACGCCGCTACTTCTGGCTCCATTAAGCTTTCCTCAAAACTAGCAGGACTGAATCTGTCAGATGTGAAATGTTTGTTTAGTTTTGTAATATGCACCAATGAAAGAATGAAAGCACTGCTATTTAGAGGGACTGATATGATGCAAATGGTGGTACATTTTGTGGTGAATTGTAAGTACTTCCACTCTGGCGCATTCAGATTCATGCACCAAATCCCCACAGATGTTGTGTCAGATGGAGAACAAGTCCAGGTTGGATGTGCCAAAGTTCATGGCAGAGAATCTTTGGAATATATTCAAAAGGTTTGTTTGAGGCTGTTTGGATCAACAAAGCTAGTTTGGGTTGTCTTCACAAAGACATGGTTTTCAGTAAGAAAAGAACGCTGGTTAATTATTGTGGTGCAGGCGCTTGCATATTTATACTACTAAATCAAAGGTTTAGGGTGTGTAAGGACTTTTTTGAAAGAATACTCTTGTGCCCACAAAGGCTGCATTTATTTGTTAAAAAAAGTTTTTAAAGAAGTAACGTGAAATATTAATATTAATTGCTGATAATTTACTCACCCCCATGTCATCCAAGATATCCACGTCTTTCTTTCTTCAGTCGAAAAGAAATTAAGGTTTTTGATGAAAACATTCCAGGATTTTTCTCCATATAATACACTTCAGTAGAAACCAAACGGTTCAAGGCCCAAAAGACAGTTTCAGTGCAAACTGCAAACTGTTCAAAGGGCTTTTAACGATTCCAGATGATGAATAAGGGTCTTATCAAGTGAAACGATTGTTTAAGATAACAAAGTTTACGTTTTTATAAGCTCAAATATTCGCCTTGTTCTGTGATGCGCGTTCGTGACTCTCCTGTTCGAACTCGTTTATCAAAAATGAATGAATCTTATTCTGTGTCATTTGGTTCATTCAACGAACTAAATGAACGAATTTGTTCGTTTTGATGAACGAGTTCAAACAGGAGAGTTACAATTACAAACGCGCATCACAGAACAGAGCAAGGCGTACATTTGAGATTATAAAACTTCAACTTTTTTTTTTTTTAAATGAGCGATCGTTTTGCTTGATAAGACCCTTATTCACCATCTGAAATCGTTTAAAGCCCTTTGAACAGTTTGAAGTTTGCACTGAAACTGTCGTTTGGATCTTGAACCGTTTGGTTCCCAGTAAAGTGCATTATATGGAGAAAACTCCTGGAATGTTTTCATCAAAAACCTTAATTTCTTTTTGACTGAAGAAAGAATGACATGGACATCTTGGATGACATGGGGGTGAGTAAATTATCAGCAAAAGTTTTTTTTACAAGTGAACTACTCCTTTAATATGTAATATGTTTTATATGCATACATTTATAAGGAATTTTCAGCATCACTACTGCAGTTTTCAGTGTCACATGATCCTTCAGAAATCATTCTAATATGCTGATTTGCTGCTTAAGAAACATTTTTAATATTCTTAATATTTCTGTGAAACTGTGAAACAATTTTTGTTTCAAGCTTTTGTGACGAATAGAAGGATCTTACTCACCCCAAACTTTTAAATATCACATGCAAAAAGTGAACTGAACCGTGACTGACACGACAACCAGACACATTTTTTCTGTCCAACTCAGTGATGATTTTGGACAGAATAAACACATTTGGAGATCATCTGGGACTATAAAATCTAAAAATGAAGCAATAATCATTTCCTCCATAATAAAACATCATATTGTAGTTTTTCTTACAATAGGTACAGTAGTTTTGTTACAGTGTTATTTTAGCTCCATGGTGCAATTTTAATAAATACATGTTTCCCAGTTGTTTTCCCCCTCAGTGTTTGTCACCAATACTCACTTTGATGACTAGATTTTTGCATCAGCTGGCCATTTGAAGTTGGCCATTTCACCCACAGAGCTACAAATGACACTGCACCTCGTCTGCTGTGTTAATGTAATTACAATGATCATACATCAGCCTTCTCTAAGACGCTCTTTTTTCAATAGCACCATTAATGCTTCTAATTTATTCCTCACTGTCCTTTTGAGCTTTGAAAGCCATCATTTCAAATCATCAGCTGTGGAATTGTGCCATTTGAAATTGTGTGGCTCATTGCGAGGCTCTGCCAGCGATAATGGAGGAATCAATTAGCTCGCTCTGAAAAACACAACCAAAAGAACCATTTTACACATTGGTGTGTTTTGAGGCGCCATCCCTGAACTGTTTTTTACTGAGGTGGAAATAAATCTGCGCAAACTCTCTCAGTATAGAGAATACGCCAAGATTGAAGATGCAAGAGGAACCTGATGAAATTAGACATTGAGAAGTGAGAAGAAACTGAGCGAGTTATAGGAAGGGGGGGTTGGGGTGACGAAGAAAACAGATGAGGAAGTTGGAGATGGTTAAGGACAGGGACACAAACACAACTAAACATCTAGAGGTGGCCATACTCGTCCTGGTTGGGTGCGGACGGTGTGCTGGATGAGTCGCTGGAGGGCTTGACCAGCGCATCCTTGGCAAGGTCACTATCTGTGGTCGGGTGGGCTCCTCCCTGTACCTGAGAGTCCTTACTTTGGGGGGAATGGCCAGCTCGGCCGGGCTCTGGCCAACAGCTTTGGCCAGATCTGCAGGGGTTGAATCAGACGGCTGGGGGGCTTCTAAGGACTTTGAGGTTTGACTGGAGGGCGTTTCGCTCAGGTCCACCAGAGGGGCCACAGCTGCAGGAGCAGCTTGCGGGGAGGTGGGAGAGGTGACGCTAGGTTTGGGGGTGCTGGATTGGGGAGTAGCTTTAGGGTCGGCCGCAGGTGCGGTGCTCGAGGTAAGGGTGGTGCTATCACTAGCAGGACTGTCAGTGCCGGGGTCTGAGTTAGTGGTTACAGAGGGAAGCAAGTCCACTACTGTTGCTGTGGTGTCAGCAGCGTGCCTGTGAGGACAACGGGAAGAGAGAGAGGAGAGACGGGGGAAAAAGAGATCCACACAAAGAAAAAGGTGGGGGAGAGGAGGGAGGGAAGGAAAGCCAAGGCAAAATACACATACATAAGTCCAACATGCATTAAAATAAAACATACCATGTTAGATAATTGCAAAAAAAGTGAGGGGTCTGTTAGGGCTGCACGATTAATCGCAATTTCCATGTAATCGCACTTAAAACGATTTGGCTTATCGTGATTTTGAAATTGCAAAGGCTGCGATTATTTAGTATACGCAGCTTCTCATAGATGTGCGGCTCTGTAAACGCTTGTCCATTTGAAAGCACTGAGTTTGAGTCACTTATAACATCAAACATCTTTCCAAACATGAGAAGCATTTATGAACCTCTTGTTAGAGAACATTTAAAGGCACACTATGTAAGATTTGTACCTTAATATAACAGCTTCAAAGTCGTTTCGGTGGTAAACAAAGTCGTAGTAGGGCGAATCATCCTGGTAGTAAAACGCCGTTGGACGTGCCTTGACAAATCTTGCGAGAATCACGAAATGCTTTACGGCAACGACGTCACACGCATCAACAATAACATATGAAGCCACTTGCGCGCATCCAAGAAAACTCGGTCAGAATCAGAAATGTCAATAAAAAGGAAAAGAGAATCGGACCGTGCTAGAAACCGGACACGAGTCCCACTCAGGCTTTCACTCGTTGGCGCGAGCTTAAAAGCAGCACTGGATGCAACAGCGATGCTGACCTGGCGATCTTGTTGACGGATTTATAAGTAAATCTCTTATTTGTAAACTATTTGTCTGGCTTGTAGTATGTCATTTTTTATGGTGCTGTTTATTCATCCATTGTTGATAACTAGACCAGTTCAATAATTCCCACATATGTCTAGCTAGCTTTCGATTACCAGAGCTACTGTAACAAACAGTCGTTTCTCTTAATTTTGTCTTTTTTCGTTATGTTTTATTGCCTAGCTTGCCACAAGAGCTAGTTTGCCAGCTGAACTCAGGTGTTGTGATAACGTAACGTTAGTCCTGTGTCTGGTTCGAATTTCTTATGGCTGTGCTTATACAAACTTTAGCTGACTAACAGTGCACTTCCCGACTGTAACTTTACTTCTAATTGTGGTGATTATGAGTCAATTAAGTCTTGACGTAGTTGATTTAATTATCTTTTATTGTCTTTAATTGATTTTAATTAACTGTTGATTAAATAGTGTAATTGAGCACAATTTGCTAACTATTATGATAAATTGTAAAAATCCTGTCTAATGAAATCATAACGGCCAATGTTATGAAATAATGCGACATACATTTAACTTTATTGATGTCATCTGACATTTTGTAATGTTTACATTACAATCAAAAAACAAATAAAATACAGCAAGCAAACGCGATAGGCAACTTTATTATTATAAAGTAGTTTAACACTTGACAAATAGTTATTATTAACCTCATCTTTTTATTATTACCATCATCAGTAGTTCAGTAGACTATGCAGTAACAGGGGATTTACGCTTATTTGCGACACTGCAAGTACACCACAGCGGCTCTAGGGGTCGCTGTTTCACAAAAACATCAGAGCTGCATAGTGTGCCTTTAATAACATGCTTTACTCCAAAGTCACTTCGTAACAACAGCTGAGCATCCTTCAGTGAGATGATGTGGCTTCTTACACAGAATGAGGCAGTAGTGTGTTTATAAGTCACATTTAAGCGTTTCAATCTTCTGTTTATTCAGCTATAGTGATAGTATGATCAGAGCCCGTCTAACGGAGAGCCTTGGCACTTCCTATTAGCCCCATTGTGTATTATCTTGGTTGCAGTTCCATTTGAATTCCACTGGAGGTGATCGCGGGTGAGTGCAGAATGAATGGGAGTCTATGGGGCTAAACGGCTAAATGTGTCTCTTTCACCTGCTTGTCGTTAAATCAAAATAGATTTTATTGTTGATTCCGCAAGTTCAATATAATATTAGAACGAGTAATTATGGCCTTTTGATTTCTTACAGGTTAGGCCGTTGTTGGCCGGAACACGCTAGCATTCTGCTATTGTGTGACGTCATCACAGTTTTGAACGGATTTTTAGAACAGATAAGTGAACTTAAAAATGCAATTTTCAGCTGAGTGTATTTTCTTAGCCCTCCCTTTTGAATGCAACTTTCAAAATACTTGACCAAAAATTACATCCTGTGAAAAGTGGATTTCTGGGGGTGAAACCCCATTAACTCCCATTCATTCTGCACTCGACCGTGAGCGCCCCCGCATGGACAGAGACCATACTGCAGCCTGTCCAGAACCCGGAAGTAACCAGCCAGTGCCAATTCTCTTCAATTAGACATTCTCTGGTATGATGCCCGTTAGGGATTTTCTGCGGCGGGGCATATTTGGCATGTCTGCGCGAGAGCGCCCTCTGGCGTTCAGATGGAGCAGCATTTACTACTGATCAGCCACTGTGCATAAAATAATCACAGCCTTTGCCAAATCGCGTGCAGTTTTGTTGTGATTAAATGTGCAGCCCTAGTGTGTAGTATCTATAGTATTAAACTACCACAGAGAGACCATTGAAAGGGATGTTAATAACCTAAAGAAAAGATCGGACATGGATTGAGTGTGTGTTTTTAGCGACTCACTCGGGGTCCGTCAGAGGGGTGGTCTCATTGGGTTCAGTGGGACCTCCTCCATGGTTTGGTGTGTTCTCTTCCTCGGTCCTTACCTCCACAATGGGCTCCTTAGACTCGTCCTTACTGTAACAGATGACACACCACGGTTAGCAGAGGGTTTATGGCTCTCAAACATCCGCTGAACTTTCTTGGCAGTTAAAGTGAAGAAAAACAGTTAACAAAATTGAAATATATTTTATTCTAACAGAAAGAAAATACATGCTAAATTGCTAAATAATGGCTTTTTAGTAAAAAAAAACATTTCATTAAAAACTGAAATATACTTAGATTTCACTGTTATATTTCTGACACATACAACATTATAAATATTATATGTGTGAGCCCTTTAGTGCATTAAAATTACATAAAAGTGTGGACTAGCTTCTCTGAAAAGGAATTTTCAATGGCTATAAAACAGAAGCAACCAGAGGCATCTTCTCATTCCTAACCAGCATGCACCTCTCCTCCTCTCCTCTTATCTTAACACAGCTGCCATGAGCCAATATTCACATCATTCTCATTCATGGAGTCAGATATGTCACAATCAGCCCCTGCCTCAATCCCTCCTGTAGAGCTGATGGGGGCGATAATGACAGGAGAGTGGTTATGGATGGCGTTATCGGACAAGGGTACACACACAGATGAGAGGTGAAGGAAAAGACAGGCTCACGTGAAAGCGGCTTTCCCCTCCTCGATATCCTTGCCCTTGGCAGAGGGCCCAGACTTTCCGCAGAAGTTGACAGCGATGCACATGAGGAGGCCGCACTTGTTGAGGAAGTAGCATGTGACATCCACGCCAAAGAGGAGCAGGATGAAGACCACGATGAGGATGCCCACGATAGCCCCGGTGCCCAAACCTGCGCTGGTTTCTTTGGGAAAGAGGAGAAATTCAAATCGAAATAATGTCATTTGCATGCCAGGCTTTAAATTGTGAGTTTCCACAGTGTCAAACACTACATTTATATGCAATCTATTTTGTACATCGGTTGTACTACTTTAAATTGGTTTCTTGAAGGCAATTAAGAATAAAGCCAGCACACACCAATTAAACTACATAAGGGCGCATTCACTAATTTGACAATCATAAAACCTGCATTTTTTTTCACTAAACACCAGCAATCCAGTTAACAAGATACTGAATGTGCTGCTTTGTATTTAAATGAAAGAGGTAATTCACCAAAAAAATGAATATTCTGTCATCATCATTTACTCACCCTCATGTCTTTCTAAACATGTTTGACTTTCTTTATTCTGAGGAAGATTAATGAACATATTTTGAGGAATGTTTCAACTGGGGCGTTGATGGCGCAGTGGATACGACACATGCCTTTGGTGTGAGATACCCGGGTTGGAATCCACTGCAAGACACTTAACCCCTAGTTGATCCAGAGGCGTGCGACCTCTGACATATATAGCAATTGTAAGTCGCTTTGGATAAAAGCGTCAGCTAAATGAATAAATGTGACTGTTCATCTGCATACAATGAAAGTCACTGGACCCCATTGACATTCATTAAGTGGACAAAAAGGATACTTTTTTTATTTATTCCAGAAAAAAAGAAATACATATAGGTTTAAAATGACATTTGGGTGAGTAAATGATGATAGATTTTTCATTTTTGGGTGAACTTCCCTTTCAAGTCATTGTTTTTAGTGAAAACATGCCCTCCTTCTATGCAAATGAGGAATTATTTTAGACCTCACAAAAGGTAATGTCACGCCTTCCATGAGCCATCAACAGAATTGTGTGTTTGTGTACATCTTCTATTAATCAAAGCAGCAGTAATTCATCAAATAATCAAGCGATGCAGAAGAGCAATATAACCGGGCGTATGTCCAAATGCATGTAAATTAGTCCATGTCACATTTTAAAGAGGTGGTTGGATCACAAAACCATGCTGTAGAGCTCCGGAAAAGAATGCCAGATCAGGGTTATCTGATACGTCCTTCACAACCTAGTAAGATCAGGAACTGCGCAATGCAAATAGCACAGATTATGTGGGCATGTTTGCACCGTTACCTGATTTGCATAACTCCTTCATAGAATCAGAATCACTAAAACAACAAGCGTGTGCAAATAAACAGCGCCGTCAGTTCATTCTTTGTGAATTCCCCCCATGATGTTTAGGTTGTGACAGATTGTCAATTCCATGTGTTATCCAAACACGGTATACAACATAACATCACATACAGTGTCATTCTGAAGCAGGGCATTCATTACTCACATGGAAATGAACCCAGCACGCTTATTCAGAGACATCATTTAGTCTCTTTGTTCAGAACTTCAGCAGTCTTGTTCTGAACATTAACTACAATGCTTGTTCATATTCATGCACATATTTCAACAGAGAAATTACACTGGCATGGAATGGTGAAGATAATCTTAATATTCAGAGCCTTGACTTATGGGATAACTCCTGCATAAACATCTACAAACACAGTCATACTGATGAAAATAAAGAAAACACCATGTTAAAGGAATAAGGAACAACACAAGCACAACTGTGTTTTCAGACCATGAAAACAAAGACTACTTACCAGGAATGACAAGCTACACCATGAAAATGCTAAATAAATGCAGGATCTACTAGAATGGACACATATGGTCTTTATCAGTAAACAAAACGCACAATGAAAAGGGTTTAATAAATATCGACTATATGGATCTTGTGGCAATTCATATTGACTCAGTCTTCTCCTATGCTTTCACTATGCTCTATTAGATCATTCTGGAGAAATATTTGATTTAGATGTGGGAAGAGAATGTTGATGTTATGAAGATGATGACTTTAGAGAGGCCAGTATACAAAACATAAACAAATTTTTTTTGACAGATTATAACATTAAAATTAAATCAAATGAATAAAATATATATGAGTAATTAAAAAATTAAAATTAAAAAAGCAGTTATATATATATATATATATATATATATATATATAATAGATTAGGGCTGTCAAATGATCAAATGATTAATCGCATTCCAAAATAAAAGTTTGTTTACATAATATATATGGGTGCACTGTGTATAATTATTTTGTATATATATATATATAAATACACACACATGCATGTATATTTAAGAAAAAAAATATTATTTTATTTGTATTTATTTATAATATAAATTATATATAAATATATATACAGTACATACATGAAAATATTTCTTAAATATATACAAGCATGTGTGTGTATTTATATATATATATATATATAAATTATACACAGTTCACCCACATATATTATTTAAAAACAAACTTTTATTTTGGATGTGATTAATCGCGATTAATAGTTTGACAGCCCTAATATATATATATATATACATACACACACACAGCTTGATGACTTGATGATTAATATTTGGACTGCAAAAATTGAGCTAACTTACTGTATTGTTAGCCTAACAGTCCATTTGGCACTTTTTTCAAGTATTCTCATGAGTATATTATACGGTCATAGATTATACCATAAATTAAGATTCATTCAATTAAGAACAAACCAAGTGCTTTTGCAATTAGGCTGATATCGAGTTCTAGGCAACTTTGTATGAATTGTCTCTAATGAGATGTCCTTCTAAATCATTGATGGAACCATATAAAACACCCGAAAGACCCAAAACACATCTACATGTATCAAGGAGATCATGAATTATGGATGCACTTATCAGAGACCTGGAGGAATAATACATTAGAAAAAACTGTTCTAAGAAGAACAAAAAAAACAAACAAAAAACAAACAAACAAACAAACAAAAAAAACCCTCATCACAACCCGTGGCTACAAAAAAAAAAAAAAATTACTGCTCTAAGAGGACTATCAAGACGTGCCATATATTTTTTATGAAATGTGGACTTTGAAACATGTATCATAGGTAATCTGGTGCTGTGGACGTTGTGATGAAATCTAGCCATGGCAGAAGTCGCCACACTCTGTGGAAGTGTATCGAAGGCTGGGCAACGAGAGGTAGAGCTGACAGATTTAATCTACCGGCCAGCCAGGAGAGGGCCAAAACACTTCTCCTAGCTTGGAGCGTGGAGTGGGTCGTAGTTGTTTTCCTGGGCTTCAGCCTGCATTTTAACAAGTGCGATAAATCACGGCACACATCTGAGCACAAAGGCACACTGAGCTCCCACACTGGCCAAAAACACCCTGCTCTGCTGACTCAGCACTGTGCATAAAAGGTCTTCTGGATGCTCCAGCCGTTTCCACATATTCCAAACCTTATCTCATTCTGAATACTGAAAATTGGTGTGTTCCTGAACAAAAAAGTGCATGTTACAGAGCGTTGGGTTGAATCAAGGAGCTCTGGAATACCTGGGTAAAATTATTTTAGCATTCAACCTTCATCACTGGCATGAGCATGCACAGAGAAGTCCAAATTAAACATGATTTAATGACTCGTAAATGTAAGTACACATTGATGGCCTAAGACACGAAACGAGCGGTTTGTGTGAGAAAACGAACAGTATTTATATTGTTTTTACCTCTTGTAACCACAGCCACGTCCAAGTGATCTGGGCGCTTTGGTCTGCACAAGCGATGGAAAGCACCGGAAGTGATCTATTGCGCGATTGCAAAAAAAAAAAAAGTCTGTTGACATATCGAAATCGTCTTCCATTGCCATTTCCTGTATATCTAAATATGTTTAGATCTTCACAGTGAAGGGTAACACTTCTGAAATCTCTGTGTAAACAATGAGTGACATACACACGCGAGAGATCACTTCTGGGGCTTTCCGAGTACTTGGACGTGACTGTGATTACAAGAGGTAAAAACGATATAAATACTGTTCGTTTTCTCACACAAACCGCTCATTTCGTGTCTTAGGCCATCAATGTGTACTTACATTTACGAGTCATTAAATCATGTTTAATTTAGACTTCTCTGTGCATGCTCTTTGAGGTGGACCCCATATACCTCCATTATATGACTGACAGACAAGAACGGTTTGACCTAAAAATAGCAAAATTGAAAATACTGTGGAAACAAAGACACCCACTGTACAACTTGAATGCCCTTGAGGTAAGCTAAAACATATAAAAAATTAATTTCTTAATTAATTTAATTATAATTAATATGATACAATATAATATATGACAGTTTGTGGCAACTTTCGATGAAAAAAAAAATAGGATTTTGTCCACTGAATTGTGTAGTAATGGCACCTACCAGCAGGGGCTAGATCTTAGCTCATGCTAATTTGAACCCCTCTAGAGTGAATATTACATATAAATGAGTAAAAAAAATAAAAATAAAAAAAGAGAGACATCGGGATTGAAATCTAAATGTGCAGCTTTAACAATTTGTAAAAATCTATAACAGATCACTAAATATTGCTTCAATGCTCCAGAGGCATCTGCTAAATGTGACTTATTGCCAACAGCCCGTTTTAACCTTCGCGGTGGGTACGGTCATTACAAATGTTCAGTCTGTTCCGAGGACTCTCAGGTTATTCACCTCCAGACTTGACACTTGCCTTCATCTCCAGTCACTCTCAGTGATAAGTGCGAACAAGCAGCACTTCAGCCTGTGCCAAGTTTGGATTCTCAACTCATTTTGCCTCTGGTTCTGTTAGTCTGAATGAAGCTGATGATCCATCCCGGGTGGCATTAAACATTCCAGACGGGCCAAACGGGGTGCTGTTTTTCTGATGAAATGTCACCTAACACCAACACACAGTGATTAAGGACAGAAACGCACCTGGATATGAATGATGAGCCCGACAAACTGATTGGCACATGCGTTTCCAGGAGCCAAAACTCCAGGGCGCATCACTTTATTACCATGAGAATCCATTCCAAAATGGGAAATAAATGCTACTCCATTTTATTGAACAAACAACCCCCATTTATTTTCATAGCCCTGCCTAATATATGAGCTTTATTTAATGTAAGACACTTAATTACATTAGTTGCACTTTACTCGACACCCTCCCAGAAAATGCCTGCATAGGTCTTGCATAATAATGGCACTCATATCTCAGCTCTCGATGGCATACGGCAGCCTTTGACGTGTAAACTGACCACCACCTTCTTTAATGCGGACAGTCGGCTGGAGGTCAATCGGCATCCCTGCCTGTATTCGTCCATCGCTAATGTTCAAAACTGATTTATACGGTTACAACGGAGGTGGTGCCATGCACACAAGAACACTTGTGGGTTTCGCATTAAAATTCAGTCTGGGGGTCGTTTATGTTAAATCCCGTCTAAGCAAGAAAAAAAACAGCCTTAAGGAATTTAGCATTTCAGAGAAGAGATGGTCAATCCAAAGTACTGAAGAACACCTTTAAAAGTAAAAGGCTCTGTGGGTCCCTCTGAACTGACATTGAGCACCATGTCATCATGGGACAAACACATGAAACGGTCACGCATTACAGTCCCATGCAACCCGCTGCCGCGAGATTTCAAAACCATGTTGCGTTTGTTAGAAACAATCCATCTAGCTTACCGCATTTTCTTAGAACTTACAATGATTACTGCATGACACCATACTGGTATGTGTATACAAAACATGTATTACAGAACATAATTAAATTACACTGTTGAAAATGACACTTATTGACGTGAATGAGTTTAACAGCAGTAGCATTAGTTTTGAACGGTCTTTTCAAGTAAGAAGCAGAGAAGAGAATGTAAATAAAAGTCCATTACAGAAAGTATATATTTTCTGAATCATCTAAAATTATGTACATTTTTGTCACAAAATACACGTTTTTCATGTCAACACACACACACACACGGTGCCTATTCCTTAAAACACCCTTCCAAAATGAGTTAATATCTTAATAATAATATAAAAAAAAAAGAACATAAGAAACTTCAAATCAATGAAGGTGATCTTCTCCTAAATGGGCCCTAGAATAATTATATCGAGATTAACATCAATCTTCTTGATGGGGAAAGATTTTCTACAACATTCCCAAAAGTCCATGGTCTGAAAAACACATTTTCAAACTCACCAACGCTGCCTTGCATAAACATACAACTAATAAGAAACTGAAAATGACAAGAAACAAAAAAGAAAACAGAATGATACAAGCACCGAACACTCTGCTTAATTCCGATAACATGTAACTGATATTCTTTTTTGTTTGTTTGTTTAGCCTGCGAGAGGATCAGAAGGCGTAGAAAACTGAAGGGTGCGGCTGAAGAGTGGATGGGGATCCTCTCCTCTGGCGAGCCACACTTTATGAGAGCACTAGCACAGTCAGCATGGAGAACATGAGAGTGACGAGAGCGTACGTCACAGAGGAGCAGCCAAGGGTAGCTGAGACCACACATCCCACACCACCACCACCAAAAAAAAAAAAAAAAAAAAAACACACCAGGGACAGTGCACAGGAAAAGAAGAGGCCAAAATGGAAACCAAACAAAAACATTTGGAGTGCGTGTTTGAAAATGCGATGGTCCGGTGATGTCCGATTTTACACATGGAGACAGAAAAAGGGAAAGAGGGAGGGAAGGAAAAAACAGGGAAAGAAATCGGGAGAGAGAAAAAAGAGAGAGACAGAGAATAGGTCAAATACAGAAAAATAAGTTTGAAAGGTTAATCAAGATTAGAAAAGAATATCAAAGGAAAGTTCAAGCAAGTTAGTAAAAAAACAAAAGTAAGAAGGCCGTAGCATGTTAAAAGCACAGTCGAGAACGAAAGGACAACGATAGCCAGATGATGGGAAATATGGAATGACAAGGGACACGAAGACGCATACAATCAAGAAACACGGATCAGACAACTTTCCTGGTATTTGACGTTACTGTACCTGTCTATATAAACGTTACCGCGAATTTCGGTACATCGTTCTTTAAAGGTGAAGTGTCTCATTTCTCACAGAGATTGTGTCTACGAATGGCTTATTCTTGAGCAGTGATAGAGAAGCGTTGTGATATTATTTTAAATTAAAAAATACACACTTCAACTTTAAACGAGCGCTTCAAGGAAAATTGCATTCAAATGAATTCGACATGAAATTAGGAAACAGGCTTTCGTCTTTTTCAGTTGCAAACACCAGGGAAAAGTTGCCCAGTCAGAAAACAAGGTGAAACAAACAGGTTATGATGCAATACAGTGTAATACTGTTCTGGATGACTGAATACGTTTTCTTGATGTTACTTAGAACGGGCATTGTATTAGATAAGCTATTACTCCATTTCAACTGTAGCTGGGGAGATTTGGATTAGAGGAAGTAGAGAGTCAGCATTTGTCTAGCGGCCAGGGTTGAGCTCAACCCCACTCCCTGTACCATGCACCGAAATGCCTCCCAATTTGAATTCCTGACAAACTCATGTGATAACATCAGCTTCCCAGATTGTTCCACGTGCTTCTAACCTGCCTCACGCACGCTGGTCCGAATAGCTGTTTTTGGACCAGCTTTTCAAAGGGCAGCTGCTCCATCTGAGGCTATGCAGATGTTAGGCTAAAAATAAAGCCGCTTTTGAAACTCCCACATGTTACACATTGAGGTTAACAACTCTGCAATGTGTAAGTGTGGCAAGATGGGAAACGGGACAAAGGAAAGCTTTTCTATCCATCTGACGCTGTCTTGCACAAGTGCTCCGAGATCCAAAGCTCCCACTGCTATATGGCTGCTTCCCACTAAGCGGATGAGAAAAAGCAGGTCTCTTGGCCATGCACCGGCAGATGCCTGTTAGGTCCTCGGTAAAGCATTAAACCATTAATCCTGTAGAGGCGTCATCATGCAAAACCAGAGGATGCATCCCCACTGAGAGCGGGCAGATAGCCTGAACTGAGCCTCGGTTCATCCCAGAGAGAGAAAGAGAGAGAGAGGGATGATCTAAGGCCCAATTTTTATCAGTGGGGAAGCAGCTCACAAGAAAACAAAAACACAGCGCTGCCATTGGAGCGCACACCAAACGAGCCCGGTTGGAGGGGGTGGATGGTTTTAACGGACCTGCTGTGGCTTTTTCACCTCCCGAGTGCCAAATTGAAAATCTCATCTCCGCTGATATCATCTACAATCGTTCTGAGGCGAGCAATAACGCTGGCTGCAAGAGTTAGGGGGAGGTTCCCAGATGGAGTCAGGGCTCTGGAGAGGAGCTAAAGGTCTCCAGGCTTCACCTCTGGCCGACATTTATCCCTCTACCCTCTTATTACTTTTAGATTGTGTCAAATCAGTCTCTAGAGGAGGCCAGGCCACAACCTGAATTGACACTAGGGTGGCCTGTGTAATCCACAACAAGACCTGCTGGTAGGATGGGGGTTAACTGGGGTTGGGGGTGAGGCGGTCGGGCTGTTGGCTGCTCTGGCTGGCAGTGGCTGTGCTTCAGGGTTAGGGGGGTGGGCCGTACCTGGTATGGCGGTGGGTTCTGGCAAGGTCCTGAAGGAGAGGATCCCGGGATCAGATCGTCCTCGCTGGTTTTCGGCCACGACGTAGACCTCGTATTCCGTGTTCCACTCCAGACCTCGCAGCACCATGTACTCGCTGCTGTTGGGCAGGCGGATCTCTGGCTTCCACTCCTGCCGATGTTTCTATGAACACAAATGTGGACATATTTTAAGCACAATGGCATCATGGCTTTTCTTTTTTATGTCTGGATCTAATTTCTTCAAAAAAATACAATTCACACTTACATTGATTTGAAATGCACCTGATTAGCATGTTATTTTCTTTAGTAAGAATTCATTTAATATTTTTGGAGGGAACTGACAGGATAACATGGTTCTCCTGATTTCATAATGAAGAAAAAAAGCCTCATTTAAAATTATTTGTAAATATGATATGTATAACATTTAACTAATAATTGAATACTAAAAATATTAACAAAAATCATTGAAAATATTTGAAAATGTCTGCCAAATTAAAGTCATATGGTATGGTGCCACCAACATGCAAAAAACAAAACACAACAATAAACAGGAAATGACATCCAAGAGACCCTCATCACTGTCATTGTGTTTCATTTTAGAGGCTGTAGCTTGAGGTCGCATTTGTCATATGGTTACTTTTCAGAAATTATGTGACATACGTCATCGAGGATGTCTAATTTCAGAAAAGTATAAAATTCCCTGTTATCTAAATCTTTTATGTCATTTTTGTAAATGCTTTCTTCTTTTGGAATCTAAAAATTTGGCAAGGCAAGATTAGCTCAGGTTATAAGATATTATGTTGTTGTGTGAATTCTGGTTTCATTAATATTTGGCTTAAAAAAAAAAAAAAACTTGGTTATGCCACATGACATGAAAATGGTATAGACATTTTTCAAAACCATATGAGACCAACATGAATACAGAGAGGCCATTTCTAAGAAGTCACAGTTGGATTGACAGTATAAATAATTCAGATGACTGGACAAGTCAAGTATGTTCCCTCGTGTCCAATCATACTCACAGCTCTGTAGCGCACTAAATAGTGTTTGATAGGAGAGCCCCCATCATCCTGCTTGATCCAGTAGACCTTCATCTCGTTGCCTGTGGACAGTGGCTTAGCTTCCAGTTTAGGAGGATTAGGTTCCCCTGAGGAGAAAATGGCCAGAAAAAAATGCTGTTAGAAAACCCCAACACAAATTCACCCTTAACCCAGGTGCATTTCCACAGGTGAACGTCCTCTTATCCATTAACAGCTGACTTTGTAATCCACAAGGTATTCTTTATCTCTGAATATGAATTGCAGATATAGGTTAGCTAATTAAACTCATGGCTAATTTTAGCTTACAATTAATTCACAGTGTTGACCCAGCTGGGAGAATTTAAAAAAGATGTTATATGGCGGTGCATGGTCTAAACTATGCACGAAAAAAACGGTAAAATTCAAGATCAAAGGGTGATATGCAACACTTTATACTTGAGTCCTTAATAAAAGTCTCAATTTCTCTGTTCTCATTTTTGGCTAAACTGTTGAGACATCTCATCGCAAAGGCTTTTTTGGCAGTATAATGATGACTTCTGCCTCATATCCTTCCAAATGTGGACCATTAATGAAAGTTCTTGGCTCTTTTTAAACGTGAAGCTGAATAACTTGGGCATGCGGAGGGCTGTAATGAGAGCTGGACCTGTGTTGGTGGCAGTGATGGAGGGAGAGTGCGCTGCTGTAATGCAGTCTCTGGAGGAGCTTGTTATCTCCACTTGCCCACTAGTTAATGACAGAACTCCCTTAATTATCCTCCATGCTTTGATTGGAGATTCTCAGCCATTACATTTAATAATATCAGCGGGAAATGCGCATGTGTGGGCGCTTGTTTGGAATGTTAGCCGTCTACCTGTGTCACTAGAGGAGCCTCGGAGGAGGCCAGAGCGCTCTGCTCCCATTAATCATCATAAATAGCAGCTAGACAAGAGTCCCTATTAGGAACTGACGTGACACTGTGTATATATACACCACCAAATATACAAAACATGACAAATGAGATGAGTTTTTAGGTCAAGGTAATAAGATATCTGAATGTTTGACCTAAGAAATATAATGCATAAGTTCAATTTGATTCAGTTCTGTTCATAAGTTTACATTCTCCTGGCAGAATCTACTAGATGTTTATCATTTATTGTGCAAAATAACATTGATCACAAAACTAATGTTTTGTTTTACTCTTTTCAAATAATATATTATAATGGGGTCAGTGTGTTTTTTATTATAAATAATTTTATATATTTTAATCGGCAAGGATCAAAAAATCAAAAGTGAGAGTAAAACATAATGCATTTATAATGCATTGAATATGGCTAAACTGTTGAGATATCTCATCGTATAGGCTAGTATAATGACTGCCAAAAAAAAAAAAAATCATATTCTTGGTTTCTACTATTGTATGTCTCGAGCAATGGTGATTTTTGTAATTGATTTTTCGAAAATGATTTTTGTAGTCTTTTGTGATAGCAGGGTTTAAGTCTCTAATATAATATAATATAATATAATATAATATAATATAATATAATATAATATAATATAATATAATATAATATAATATAATATAATATAATATAATATAATATAATATAATATAATATAATATAATTCACAAGACCTGCTCGGTTCATATTCTTGGTTTCTACTATTGTATGTCTCGAGCATCAATGATGATTTTTGTAATTGATTTTTCGAAAATGATTTTTGTAGTCTTTTGTGATAGCAGGGTTTAAGTCTCAGGTTTGTGAAGTGAAGCTTCCCACTGTTCTCCAGGTCCTGTAAGTTCTTTGGTTTCCCAGAATGCCCTGCATATTTGAGTTTTTCTTCACAATGGCTTCTTGATGATACCACTAAGGACAATACCAAACTATCACAAAAAAACCTTCAAACAGTCAAATGTCTCAAGAAGGCAATACATGACATAAAGAACCTGTAAACTGGATAATTTGTGTAGATGAAGTTACCATTTCATGTTGTATAATGTAAACATGTTTGCAGTATAGTACTAAGTACAAAAACAGATTCTGCAAAGAGTTACGTTAAGTATGTAAACTTGAAACCGTAAACCTCTGTAGTCGTTTGTTATGGCCTCATATCATGATAAATCTCTTTGTAGTCTTCTGTAATTAAGTTTAATTTAAGACAGAGGCATTTTTGAAAATTTCAGACCATCAGGCAGTTAGTTAAGCATGCATGAAAGTAGAAGCCTAAGGTGTTTCCCTCATGATGAATTGAAGCTTGATTAAAGTTTGTAATTGGATGCTGCAATTTAAATGAAGACAGGTTAATTTAAGACAAGCAGTGCAGGAGTGATGGCATTTAAACAAGTTATCTGAGATCCAGTCATCATTTCCAGTTAGCTGAAGGACTTCCAGATGCTAAGAGGACAAAGAGGGATAGATTAGGGTTACAGAGAGAAAGAAGGCAAACATGCTCTACCATGCTGAAGGCGGATTAGTTTAGTTTCAAGGGTCATGGATTATTGTGCCACTCGATCATGACTAATAATAACAACTGCTATCCTAGCTTGACACATTTCAGGAATAAAAAAGAAATATACTACAGAGAAATGACAGAGACAGCATCTCATTTCAAATCAAGTGTGTTGTTAAAAATGTTTGGGTGAGAAAATAAAGAGTAGAATTATTGTCTTCAAATACAAGGAAGTGAAGCTGTTCCTCTTTTGCATTGCCAAGAACAGCAGACAGGGACAGTGAGCAAGTACATTCACGAGACAAAGACGTACAATTAGGACATGCATGACAGGTTTTAGGTATACAGACGAGAGACAGAGAACAGAAGTGCGTTTAAATGTATTCATGCAAAAGCAGAACGTCAGTTCTTCTGTTAGTCTGTGGTAAGCACATTTCAGGCGCACACTGCAACTGCAGCACAAATTTATCATATAAAGCACATGATGTGCAAATGAAAGATAGGACGATGACTGATGTTCTTTATGATGTTTTTAATAAATGAGTTTGTGAGATGTCAAAAACAAAACATATAGCCTATATATATATATATTTACAGTCTTTAAGCCACTCTGTTAAGGTATTCGGTTGAATAAAAAAGAGATTTGGGTAACACTTTACTTGAAGGGGTGTGCATAAGACTGACATGACACCTTCATAACCATGACATGGTTTATCCATGTTTGTGACAGCTGTCATTAAGTGTCTTTCGCTCAATAATGACATTTTCAATGCAAATATGACATTAAGATGTCTTTGTTATGACATCTTGACATAAACCATAACATCATAACCTGTCAGTGTCTTTGTCATGACAACTTGACATAAAATTAAGTTAATGTGGTTGGCTTTGACATAGGCTGTCATGAGGCCGTTATAACTGTGTCATGAATATTTTTCGTGACCTCAACTACAGTGGTACTAATTGAATGTGTCATTAAAAGTTAAAATGGCTTCATAACAGGCAATGTCAAAACCAACCACGACAGTTTAATGTAATGTTAACCAATAAAGCTAATCTGCTATGTCATGTTTATGACAGGTTGTGTTGTCTTAGTAATGTCAAATTATCATGACAAAGACACCGACAGGTTATGATGTATTGGTTTATGTCAAAGTGTTATAACAAAGACATCTTAATGTCATATTTGCATTCAAAATGTCATTATTGAGCGAAAGACACTTGATGACAGTTGTCACAAACATGCATAAACCTTACTTCATATTCAAGACATGTCATGTCATGGTTATGAAGGTGTCATTAGTCTTATACACACCCCTTCAAGTAAAGTGTTACCGAATTTTTCTCAAAAAGGTTTTTCTTTAAGAAAAGGGAGGGTAAAAAAGGAAAGCCAATAGAGTAAAATATAAATTGAAAATCAATAAAACGTTTAACATGCAGTGCACTTAGCAGCATGTGTAGGTGACTAAGCTCTGGTACAAGCTGAGAGGCTGATGGTTTTTCAAAAAGCCAAATAAAGTAGGTGGTGTGAGGTTTCTGAAGGATGAATGACTCAAAAATGAAATGGCTCATAAATCCTGATGGTACTGGGTGGGTGTTTTCTTTTACATTCCCATCATTAGCTTGTCTATATTCTCATTGTTAATGGGAACCGTATCAAAAAAACAAAAAACAAACAAAAAAAAAAACAACAAAAACATAAATCAACAAAAAATTACCTTCTGTTCACCAGCGAAGACGACATCATCAGCACCATGCAAGAGTCATATGACAAAGTCACATGATACGCACGCACATGATTGGTGGAAAGGAAAGTGGAAGGGGGAGGGGTCACATGGAAAATACAAAACATTGAAAAAAATTATACAAACATGGAACGTGTTAAGACCAAAAAGTACAAACAGGAACACAAACAACAAAAAGAAAACAAATTATAAACATAAATACTTCTCTATAACATTAGATACAGTGTCTGCAGATCCATAAAACAATTCCCGGACAGTGATGTTTTGAAATACAAATTCAAATCAAAGTACTTCAAAAATATCATCTCTCTTGAATCCCGTTGAAATTATTCGGGGTAAGAACAGGTACCAAATTGCTTTGTGTATCCACTTCAGCAGGAGAAGTTTTACTCCTGGATGCGAGAGGTACTTTCGATAAGAGGATTCAAATACAGCTCTCTTGCAGTGTACATTGAACTATAAATGCTTTTGCATATTGAATGGCATCAATGGTACTGTAAAAAAAACAGCTGAAACAGAGCAGGCCAGCCAAAGGCAGAGGAATCTCTGTGATGTAGACGGTACAGAGAGAAATCTGCATCATCTAATGGGCATTAGATGAGGAAGAGACTGCCCATGTGTATTGTCCCAGACAATACTATAAAATGTTGATCTAGGATTAGTCATAAAGATATACAAACACAAAGATGGATCCTAGATCAGCACTTTCAGCCAGAGAAGTTTGCATATATGAGCTCAGGACTGCAGAGGGCAGAGGAAAAACTAAACTAAACTAGATATGATGCTGAATGGACACCTTCAGACACGCAAGTTGCATGTAAAAATGCATGAATGAAGTCTCATGGAACAGCATCTGCTAAAATAGGTGTTCATAACAGAAAATTTGAGAGAAAGAGAGAAATACTGCAAATACTCTAGAAAACTTAAAGCATATGTTAATAGAAAAAAAGAAAAATAAATACATTTTCATCTTTCTCGCAATGCACATATTTTCAAGAATAGTTATACTCTATCGCCTTTTGCTAACTCACTAACATGTATGTTATATATATATATATCTCATATATGCATATAATAAACAGTATATCTTATATTTAGGAAGGTAGTGATCATATTTGGGAATTGTTTACATCAAATATTTTTGGCTAATTCAGCTAGTTTGCAATCTGAGACAGACAACAAGACCAATTAAAAAGAACAAATTGGCACATTACACATAAACATACGCACCAAGACTCAGAAAAAGCACCACACATTGACTTTGAAGCCATCTGAAACGAATATCTGTAAACCACCAGGGTTCCTTACACACTGCAGCTGTCAAACAATTTAGAAAGTCTAAAATCTTCATGCTGATTATGACTCATTATCACACAAAAGAACATCTCTTTTGTTTGCTTATCTACTCATACAACCCTAAAAACCCAAAGACACTATTATATTGTAATTTCTTTGACATCCAAAGAAAGTTTTAGGTTGGTGCAATCTTAAACCTGCCACTCAATGCCAACTAAGCAGACAATAGTCAAACAACTGCCTACTCCTAAGATAAAGACCTTGTCATTTCTCTGGCTGAATGAGACAGAATAGCTGTCTCCCGGAAAAACCTTTTCAGGCCCTTCAAATTTGCCGTCTGTTTGTTGAGAGGTCAGGTGTAATCCGTACTGTCATGGTAACTCTATTTTCAGAAAAACACTTATCTCGCAGGATTGTGGGAAGTGAGAGAGCATGTTTGAGTGTTTAGGATCAAAATTTGCTTGTAGAAACAGACTAGCCAACACAAAGCATCAAATGCACAGATGTCTGTGTTAATTTGCTTTTTGTACAAGTCTGGAAAATTTGAACCCAGTCCAATACGCCATCACTATTGGGCACAGGTTGTTCCAGGATGATAGTTCCTGATCTAAAGTCTCTTCAGATAAACACATTTGCTAAATGACTGCGTTCTTGCATCTCTGAGGGAAGATGTGTACTCCCAAGAATGCTAATGTTGAAAATTTTGATTAATGTTGGGAAGACAGCTCCATTAGTTTCCACATTCAAAGAGTATGCAACACATCTAATTAATACATCAGAGACTAAATAAGAGAACTGCATGTTTCATGCTGTTTATGCAACTTTCCGCATATCATTCAAAAATCAGCACACATCATTGAGTTTATAAACCAATTACCATTAGCACAAAAAAAGCATGTTGGATCATGTCATACTTCTGTATGTCTACCATGCAGTGACATGTTAGACAGGTGAGCTGGTCTACAAGCGGAAGTTAGTGATGGTTCTCTACAAAGGCTTGAGGATCATGAGCACAATCTCAGTGTCTCACTTCCCCCGCCCTCAACTAACATCTATACAGTCTCTCTTCTCTATCACAGACGTGCCTTGTCGTTCTACTGCGAACATCAGCGGTGTTGACGTCAGGAACAATGGTCTACAGTAGGTGAGGCGAACAAACGTGTAGCGGGATAAGAGCGGCAAACGACACTGCACACAGTCGGCATACTCACTAAGGTCGGCAGTGGTCGGACGAATAGAAGTCGGAGTCTCTGTAGACACTGGAAGATGGTGAGAACATGGTGAGATGTGCTTTCATTTGCCACACTAGTAGAGCCACTGCAACAGCTTCATAGCAACTAACCAGTGTACATCACAGCGTACTGTAGCAACATTCAACAGTCCAGGCAGAAGTGCATGTGCATCAGTGTAGAGACATGCTGTATGGTCAAAATTATGTGTAAATGTAAAACACCAGTGGCTTTACTGGAATGGCATCTGGACCCCAGCAAAATGCATCAGCATGGCACAATTATATTTAAAATGATTTCATCTGATTAAACTTCTAGTTGGATATGTGAGGTAGGCAACTAATGAGAAGAAATGATAAAAACGACAAATAGATTGTCATTTTAATTGAACAAAACACAGGCGTCACAATGGTTAAACATTTACCGGAATATATCATTACTTTAGCAGACACAATCTGTCAGTTCAAATCTAGACTAAAAACACATCTCATTGGCCTAGCATACACATAACACACTATAGACTTCCTAAATTCAAAATTAGGCTGCATAGTTTAGATCAGCCGGAACTGGGAACATGTCCCGTAAATCCTGATGTACTTGGTACATCAAAAGAAGGATGCCGTCTACGCTAATATTAGTTTCTCTGTTTATCCCGAGGGACCCTCTATGGTGGACCTGCGCCTGGACCAATCCCGACCCATCCTTAAGTGCCGGCCTCATCGACACGATCCTCAATATCTCGTCTCCAAACCGGCGTGATTACTTTGACTTCCAAACAGATGGAAATGGACAAATACTCTTAATGTTTCGATCCAATTGGTTTGAAATCACTGTTCCTTTGGGTTCTCTCAAGGTTTTTTTCTCCATTTGGTAGATTGATGGAGTTTTGGTTCCTTGCCACTGTTGCCTCGGCTTTTGGCTTGCTTAGTTTGGGACATTTAATATTCAACAATATTATTGATATGTGTTGTATGTACAATCTGTATTGTAAAAAGCGCTATGTAAATATATGTGACCTGACTTGATTGCTTAGTTTTAAAAGGAATTAAATACAACAAATATAATTATAAAATATAAATAACTACAAAATAATTCTCTGTTGGTTTAGAAGTCCTTTTTTTAGCGAATCCCACGTACAATACTATGTAACATCATGACTGACTGATTATTGTCAGATATATCGTTTTTTGCTAAGAAATGTACACTTTTATTCAGCAAGGGTGCAATAAAGGGGTGGTTCAGAATTTTTGACATCGGGCCTCATTTCCAAGTTAGCCTTAGTGTTATTTATCAGTGGGGACAGTTTTCAAAAAATTCTCATCCAGTCGTTCCAGTTGCATAGTTCGCCGGTGCTATGCTAGCGCGAGTCAACGGTAACTGCTAGCCTGCCATTAAAAACAGTTGAAATGAGCCCCGATGTCCAAAATTCTGAAACACCCCTTTGAATTAATAACAAATGAGAGTAAAGACATTTGTAACAAAATAAGTCTATCTAAAAAAAATTCCTTTCAAACTTTCTAGTCATCAAACTATCTTGAAAAAAATATTATCACTGTTTAAAAAAAAGCCTTGAGCAACAGATCCATTTTCAACATTTATATTAATTAGAAGGATTTGAATGATCACGTCGTGACACCGAAGGGCCGTGACACACTAAGCCGATGGTGAGTTACACACTACCGGGATCGAGACGCACATAACAACCTTTAAATGTCATGGCCGATCTGAGCCATGACAGTACAGCCGTCTCAAGCCGCAGACACAGCTCGATTCAACATGCGATATTTTCCTGAAAGTCCATTAGCGCCAGTGACTCAGACATCATCACCTTCAATATACTCTCATCCATCTAATCTGAGAGATAAGGTTGGCTTTCATTGAGCTGAACCTCAGAGCCTTGGAGTTAAACGGTAAGTACTTTGAGTGGAAGGTAATGATATGATGGGGGCGAAATATCCCCTGTTTCCTCTTTTAAGCTTAACGCAATTAGGTAGTGGCACAGCCTGCTTGTAAGCTGACAGATGACAGACTATGTTACAGTTTCAAAGACTGTTTGACTAAAGAGTGCAGAGCGTCTGTCTTTTAATCTCTTTCTTTCTGTGCAAATTGTGAATTTATTTCAAGGAACTTGTAGATACTTGGTGACAAAAAGAGTCTGAAGTGCTAACAGCATCATGAGTTAGTCCTTGTAGGATTAAAGGATAAATTCACTCGAATATGAACATTTTTGTCATGTACTTTACTCGCCCTACTGTTGATTCACAAAACACCAAATTGGAACACAAAACGAGAAATTTTAATAAAGTACTGACTGCTCTTTTCAGATGCTTCAAAGTTGCCAAAATGACTTAAAACACCATAAAAGCCTCAGAAAAAGTCAATATGACTTGTGCATGGCTTGACATTAACACCCTCCAATCCACCAAATTCAGGTGTATTTCAGCAAGCAATCACTTGCTGAAATTTGGTACCATTTGGTACCATTAAGGTACCAATATGCACCCTTTAGGTGTACCTTTTGAAAAGGTACCACCCCAGTGACAGCTTTTGTACCTTTTTTTCTGAGAGTGCATATTTATAAGCCTAAATGTAAAAATAGAGAAAACGGAACAAAAAGGGCTTAGTCCCCAGAGGGTTAACAAACAATAATTTAATTACAACTACAAAATGTTGCAGAATAATGTAATATATGAATGAATAATAGCCTATAAAGAACCTTTGTGCCCAAAGGGTTCTTTCTTGTCATTATAGAACCCTTTTTTAGCATTAAAGGTTCTTTGGAGTTGAGTAAAGAACCCTATGCTTTATATATAGAACCCCAATGAACCCTTTTTCTAAGAGTGTAGTGTTGTCAAAAATATCGATTGTTTGATACATATCTATACCGAAATATCTGAAACGCTTCCAAAACTATTTTATTTTAGCTTCAAGACAATACTTTGGAGCTCAACTCTTTCTTCTCCCTGATTTCCAGTGTTTTGAATTGCATAAAACTAATTACTGCAGCCTTATTGATCTCACAAAAAAACTACTCTTTCCTTCAGTTTGGTCTCCAGCTCTGCAGACGAGAAAATGCATGCTAAAATGGGACTGTATTATCAGCTCCGATCTGATGAAACACCTAGGGGCAGTAACATTGTGTAATGCTTTGTAGATATCACAGAGCAGAGGGTGAGGTTCAAAGCATACAGAGAAGAAAATTGCTCTGCAGAATAATAAGGATTATCACATCATAAGTGTTTCATGTCAAAGGGAAGGAAGGTGGTGTTAATGCTGTTACAGTGGTGATCGCAATTAAAGCACTCCAGAACTTCACCTGAGGACGTGGACCATCTGCTAGGTCGCTGGCCTGTGTCTCTATCTGTGAGAGCTGTATTCACCGGCACTGATGCAGAGAAACTACTGAGAACCACCAGATGTGCTAGGCAATAGACTTAATGTAATGAATATCTCAGGGGTACAAAATTACTGAGCACAATCTGATGAAGTGCCACGTAAACTGTTTCATCGTCTATTTTCTATCTCCCATTCTGATTGCATTAAGTGTTATTAAAGAGGTTTGGTTCTACAAGTTGGATCGTATTTGAGACAGAACTGATACAGTACAAGTAAGGGGATAATGTACATCTAGCCGGTTGTTATCTCAGAATAAACACCGACAGGGTGATCAGGTCTTGCTTGTGTGGTCAACTTTAAGCGGTTTATTCCCCTGCTTATTACACGGCTACTTAAGCGCAAAGCTTCAGTGGAGAGAGCAGTTCGTGGCAATTCAAACTACATTTAAGGGATACTGTACAGTCATCCCACTTTTTAAACAGCATTTTCGCTTCGTACCTGTTTGTATGGTTGTATCTTATAATCCAACAGTGTACAAAAAAATAGTCGCAAAATGGCAGCAGCTGCGTTTGTAAAAGCAGTATTATTATTTTGCTATTGTAAATGTTTTAGATTGTAAAACAACTTTGCCGAAATAATAATATATATTTTTAATAAACATTAATAAAGAATATAATTAACAAAAGTACAATAATATTCCATCTTTGTTTCGGGATGTTGAGTTTCGGGAACTTGAGAATAAATGGCAGTTATTTACAAAGTTGAGATGCTTCTCCATTGCCATTTATGAAAGGCCCATTGTTAAAGAATGGCTAACCAATTAAAAATAACATTTTCAACATAAAAAGCAATAATGAAGACAAAAAGATTAGCTCTAAACATCACCATCTGACAAATGATAATAATAATTTGTGTTACCTTGCTTTCTGACTGTGATATGTTTTATATATTAGAAGAAAGTTTCTGCACTGAATGCAGAAAACAAGACATTTTCAATACCAATTAACACAGCGGGACACTTTTCTCTCTTTTTTTACACAGCATTTGCCTTTGAATTTAGCATTGGTTTCTGAGCTGACCTCCTTTAACTTTGTATAATCTACTATTTTCTTATCAGAGGCAATTTCCACTGTAGGTCTCAAAAGGTGCAGTCCCTGCCACAGTGCTCTCTGATCCTTTGCGGTCTGTGCTGCGGTGATCACATTCATATCAAATAAGGCTCAGTGGAGTCTACCTGCCCTCTGGGAAGCGGGGTGACCTACACACAGGCTCGCAATCAGAAAGCCTGGCACACAGTCATGGAAAGAGTCCCTCTTTGTCTCAGTGAATATTTTAGCTGTCACCCAACATGACCCTAGTGCAGTGAGCTGCAGAGGTGGCATTATCCATCAAAAAACTCCCAGGGGTGTCCACCACTCCTGCCTCTATCGCTTACGTGACAGGCCGAGCTAGCTTTGTCATCACTCCATCTCCATACACAATTCCAGCCTCTTCATTCACGCTCATAGCACATAAAGTGGAGAGGGAGCTCTGTTGCTTTGAATCGCAAGTCCCTGCAGCACATACCGCAGTAATGTGAATTTTATAGTGCTCTTTTACAATTTCTACAGGTTGTGGAGGCAAGAGGCATGGATCTTTGCTCTGGAGGAGAGAAAGACTCACTCACGCTACTGGCAACATAGTCTTTTGTGTCGTCCCCCTCTTCCTTCAGCGCTCTGGGCACTCTATTGGCTGAGACTGCAGGATGGCCACTGGTGATAAATCTCTGACAAGCACCTGCGAGCGCTACCGTACATCTTACTTGAAGCTCCATCTACGTCAAGTTATGCCACTCACTGCAGACATGCTGCTGCTTTATGGATGGAGTCAATCTATCATACTTCCCCAACTGTTAAAGCAATAGTTCACCCAAATCATTAAAATTTGGTCATTATTTACTCACCCCTGTGTTGCTCCTAACCTGCATGTTTTTTTGTTGTTGTCTGTGGAGCTATTCTAAATCCTTTCCAACTTGCTGTTTGCAATGTCAGTTAAATGTCCAACTTAATCAACATGTTGACTAGTTTGTAAAACAAAGCTACAGCTTCAGAAGTCATTCAGAATTATGTTTGTCATTTTTTAGGCAAGTAGGTTACTAACTCTCATAGTATAGAGAAAAAATACTAAAACCTCCTAGGTTAAACTAGTCTAAGTTGTTCTCATTGCCAGGCCAATCTGTGATTAGCTGGTTTAGTTGTTGAGAAGTGCCCAAAAACTAGCCAAGAAAACTAAGGCTACGTTCACACTGCAGGCCGAAACGACCTAATTCCGATTTTTTTGCCCCTATGCGACCTGTATCTGATTTTTTCATGAAACGACACAGATCCGATCTTTTCAAATGCGACCCAGGCCACTTGGGTATGTGGTCCAAATCCGATATGTATCCGATCTTTTGAAATGCGACTTCAATCTGAACGGCCAGGTCACATATATCCGACCCGCACGTCATTGCACGCACCTGTAGCTAGCCAATACACGCTAACTCCAACGCGTTATAGGCCGCTGCAGACATGTCTCTTCCCCAGTGTTGTGCCTGAACGCGTTCATATACTGCATTACTGCCTGATGAACATTACTGTGAACACGTTCATTCTGGTGTCTGTGAACGTGCGCTCTCTCTCAGTATAACTTTGTACATAGGGTGCCAGATTGATTTCTATAGAGCCTTCCAGGCGAAAACCTGGCTAAAACACATGTAAACATGCCTTAAAATGTAGCGAAAAAACACCCAATCTGGCAACACCAGCCACCAGTGTCGCACCGCGGCCGCCGGTGACAAAGCAAGGAGCGCCGAGGACGCGCACTATCAATTAAACGGGGTTTATGACAAGCCTCGGTGAGGATCGGAAAAATCTTACATTTATGTGCAAACTTTGCCCGTCGATAAAATAATTGTTGTCTGTGTTTGTATATGGGCTGTGGCAATAATAATAATAAAACAAAAGCTCGCAACATATGGAAAAAAAGGACTATTCCGCAAAAAACAAGTGACGTCGTTGACCGTTGATTAATCTTCTGCGCATGCGGGTCACTTCTGGGTCATTTCACGTTCACACAGGAGATCACAAAAGGTCGCATTTAATTGGAAATGTGAACGGCCTTGCAAAAAAATCGAATTTTATTCAAAAAATCGGAATTGAGAATTAAGCCCTGCAGTGTGAACGTAGCCTAAGTTGGTTTGCTGGTCTTAGATGGTCGCAAACCTAAACTTAGACTGGTGAACTTGCTTTTTTAACCAGGGACATTGAGAAAATAACAGCATAGATATTTGGAAAGTCATGCGGATGAGTAAATGATAGAATTTTAGGGTGAATTATTGCTTCAAGAAGTCATTGGGTCCCCTAAATATGGCAAGACTCATTGTTTCCCGAGATAAAAAAAAACTTGATTATAATTGTTCATATTCACAGAGAAAAAAAGAAAGCCTGCAAAAACGTTCCGCTATTGTTTGGATTTCTTCAGAAGATTTACTTTAGTAGTGATTTTTTGCTTTGGTTTGGAAACTTGTGACAAATAAACCCAATCTGGACTGTCACCAGATGCGTGTATTCATAATTTGACAAGTGTCGATTCTGCCGGCGGTCTCGTTTTGTCATGTAGAAATTGATAAATGATTAGTAAGTGTTTGGAGTGCCTGGATCATTGTGCCGCCAATCACCTCTTAAATTCACGCAGGTTTAGTTCCGGAGAAAGAGCGGACAACGCCATCAATCTCATCTGAACTCGACCACATCCTAATACCATTACGAGATACGGTCTCTGCCTCGCCCATCGACTCTTTTTAATCATAAGAATGATTCTACAGTCAAATAATGAGAACAATAGAGAGCCACAACAAGAAAATACTGTCAATTAAATTCACAATCAGCTTAATCACTGTTTTTTTTTTTTTTTGCTTTAGTCATTCTACAGTGTGAATGTTTTACAATTGCCTCTTGCAAAACAACCACCCTCACACAAACTGTTAATTTATTATCCAAAAAAACAACAACATCCAAAGCCATTTATTAAAGACCAAATAAACACCAACATTAGACAACAAGGTCACGCCTATCCTAGGAGTGTGAAATAAATAGCTTGTTTTGAGACGTCTGAGGGATTCATGTGAAGTACTACAAGGGGAAATGGAGAGATAATGGGACGCACGCTTTGACTAGAGGGAAATCTACATACCAACAGCAATATTTTATACTAATGTGCTAGCATGTAAGGATTTTAACAACAGACCCGAGGGAGCCCATTCAAATTTAGTTTCAAGGCATGACCTAACACACCTGATTCAATTAGTCAAATGTTAATTCCTCAATGTAGCATAATGGAGTTGAACCAGGTGCATATTTACTGCAGGTTTTGGGGGGAAAAGGCAATTTTCTCAATTAAGCCTTCAGGACTGGTCTAAATGATCACATAGCAAACCTTTATCCTTCTTTGAGTAATAGAATGGACTTCCGTCTGGAAAGTACAACAACAGATATAAAGTGAGCTGTCATAGCTCTTTTAAGCAAAGACTATAATCAAAAACCTATTAAAAAGTTTTTTTTTAATTCAGTGAAAACCCCTCAGAAAGTTTAACTTAATTTGCACTGAGATATGAGAGTCCACTTTAAGCAAATGTGCTAATTTAATTCTCAATAGATTCTTAAAAACCCCATGAAAATTGTTAATAAAATGGACTTTTAGCAGATACACACCAAAAATATGACTGAGTCATCCAACGACTTATACATTTGTTGTCCAATCAAATGCTTTCTAGAAGGAGAAAGTCTCCTCTCAGTAAATTAAAATTACCATTTGACTAAAGGTCAAATCAAGGTTCATGACTAAGTAACAGCCTATTAGCTATTTAAAAGGGGATAAGCTCTTCAATATACAAACCTTCCTTCAAAAGCAGAAAAGAAGACTGCAATCTATAACATTTCATGGAGTCTTAAACTTTCTATCAAGCTTTTACTAACTTCTTTAAAGGCTTACTAGTAGATCTGGCAGGAGTGTTGCAATGGCTGGAATAGAAGCAAATGGAAAAAAAAACTAACAGAAATGTGAAAGAAAGAGAGCAGAGAGATGGTACACTTACTTTTGAAAGGGAAGCCTGATGTCCAGGGGAACAAAACAAGATGGAAAACATGATGAGAACCATAAAAAAAATCATGAACATGAGAACAGGAATGTATAAGATGGAGAGGAGGCCAAATCCAATTTGCCATTTTAGGTTCATCTTATGAAGCAGTGAGAAAATTCACCATTTCGTCAGGCTAAATTATGTGAACTATGCTTGCTAAGTCCCAAAATGGCAAAATTGGGTGACCCAATTAGTTATTGTGAAATGAGAGCGGGAATTAGAGTGAATGTGGGGACTGTGAAAACAGGGGGTGTTGAAGTAAAGATGAAATATGATAAGAAAAATAAGATAAGAATTCATGTCTTACATCAATGGAGCAATTCACTCCTGCCATGAGCTATTGTACTCGCAATAGAAGAATAAACAAGTCTGGTTTTGTGTTATTTTAACTTTTTACACATTTTTGTAAGATTCCCTCCAAAGCTTCTGGGTATTGAAATGGAAATCAAGCTTATTGCCGCACGAATCCTTTTTTTTTTTTTTTTGTAAAGTCCTTTTTAGATGGATCAACTGAATTGGATCAATAAATTGGATTAATAAAGTGACAAGGAAAAAAAAAAAACATTTCTGCAATTTAAACTTTAGTGAATCCCCGCGAGTGCAAGAGGAAATTGAATAATCAAAGTAGAACTGTGTTTCTGCTCATCCTACATTTCTTGCAAACTGACTTTTTCTAATCTGCTTCCAAGTGGAACATTCAGATCCAACGGCTTCGTGCGACATGCAGTAATTAAACCAGTATTTGTAGGACTTTTGAAAACTTTATTGCAATATCTAAATAAGGATGATGTTTCATTAAAATGGAGAGCTTTACAATCAAGCTCTGCAAACCAACGTCAAATTTCACCTCACTTCATTTTTATTTAGCTATAGAAGCCTGTTTCTAACCTTAAACGGCTATTTGAGATAACGTTTAAAATAATAAAATAGTGACATTGTGTCATATTATAGGCCTGGTTTCACATACAGGACTTAAATTAAGCCAGGGTTAGGCTTTAGTTCAATTAGGGCATTTATTGTGACTTAGAAAATACACAGGTGTGCATCTTGAGATAAATAATAGCTCTGACATTTTTTAAAATATGTCATTGCAAGTTCATTTGTGGTGAGACAGTTCAAACATGCATTTTAAAATTATAGTCTGAATTGTGAGTTACAAGGGCACAGTTTTGAAAAATAGTCACAATTATGAGTTGCAAATATGAGAAATAGAGGTTTGATGTTACAATTATAAAAAATCGATTGAGATAAAATGTTGCAATTATGAGATCTAAAGTTATGATAGAATCACAAATGTTAGAAATGGAGCAATTTAAATAAATTACTCTTTTAAACAGGCTTAGATTCATGGCACATCTAGTGAATATTTAGAGCTGAACCATTAAACTAGTGAAAAATACCATCTGAAATTATTTTCTACTGTTACTTATTACAGCATACTGCTGTACAAATGCAAAATATAGTCAATTCTTTGAGATTAGATCTTATCATTGATAATATATCCCGAGAGTCTGATCGTGAATACGAGGTTAAAGAGGGTTTCATTATCTGCTCTACAGAAGAGTGCCCAATCAACATGGACGACACTTAACAGAGCACACAGCTCTCAACAGACACGAGACACAGCTGTTGCCCGGCACATGCTGGCAGTCAGCAGAAGAGCTGTACAGACAGGGAGGTGTGCCACATCACAGGGAAGCACTGCTGAGGTGAGAAGCTGCAGTGACACAATGGTCCTCAGGAAATAGTTAAAACATACGGACACACACACACATCCACATATAAATACAGAAGTACACGCAGGACAAGCAATGCATCTCCTGGGAGTGAGATCCAGCAGGGTCCAGGGAAGGGATGCATTGTGCTGCTGCACTGAGAAGGGGGGTTGATGGGTAAAGAGGGTGCTAGGGTCTTCAGAGAGAGAAAGACAGAGGCACTTACGGACAGGTTGGGTTTTGAAGTTTTCCGGGGCGCTGCTCTCTCCTTCACCCTTGCCGTTGATGGCTGATATCTTCACCTCGTATGTGGTCTCTGGCTTCAGCCCAACAATAGTGATCACGTTGAGACCTGATTTGGACAGATTTAGAGCTCCAATGAAACATAGGACATAAAAACATAGAATAAGATGATTAAATATGTCTAGTTTTAACAAAGAATATCCCAAACCCATATGACATACCAATTTGCCTTATCTAATGGCACATATTAACCCAGCACATGAGGCATGATTCATTTGAATAGTTTGCCACAATAAACAGGCTCGAATATATTTAAAATATCCTGATTTAAATGCAGTGAGAAAAAGTTTAACCGATAAGCGAAAATATGCACTAAATAAATACACTTGGGGCAAGTGGTGAGGGAAACTTAATGAATAATAAGTTTTCTAAATCTGAGAAAGTCTGCGGGACTTTTTGATGGTACATCTGTAGGCAAAGATAGTGTGTGGGCCAAGTCATCACTTTCTCATCATTTTCCCAGAAGACCCAGCAAAGCATTTTGAGTTTCACCTTTGTTCTAAAATACATTTCAGTCTGATATAAAAAAACAAAACAAAAAAACCCTAATTCTTCAATTAGAGTCATTACTCCAGAGTTATCTGGACAGCATCTTACATTTCATTTTTGTAAAATACAACCATTAGTTCTCATCCTCTAATTGGGTTGGGCAATCCTTATTGGAACAAAAGTAAACAAAATAACTGGCCACATTTTGTCTAAAATAAATAAATATGATCAAAAATATAATATGATAAAAAAAAGTCAGTAAAATAGTAATAATGTGTAATGTAATTACATGTAATTTATTCCTGTGATGGCAAAGCTGCATTTTTAACATCCATTTCTCCACTCTTCAATGTCACATGATCCTTCATAAATTACTCTAAAATGCTGATTCACTGCTCATTTTAAGTTTCTTATAATAATAATAATTTATTATGAGAATAATAATTTTTATCACAGTTAAAAACGGTTGTGCTGCTTATGTTTTTGTGGAAACCACGATAAATATTTTTCAGGATTCTTTGATGAAAGCTCTGCATTTATTTAAGCATTTTATAACATTTTAAAAGTCTTTACTGTCACTTTTGATCAATTTAATGTCCTTGTGGAACCAAAGTTTGAATAATTATTCCTCCCCTAACTCTATAACGGTAACTGTTTAACATGGGAAATGAAGAAATGTGCTTGTCATATTCACTGTTCATCACTATGTTTTTAGTTATGTTATAAAGTATGAAATGTGGTTTACAGTTTATCATAACATCACCCACAATTTAACTTCAAAAGACTAAATCAGACTAAATCTCAAAAGAATTCGTAATTTGGTATCATACATCAATCACTCGTCAATAATGCCCAGAAATGTTCTTTTTACTCATTCAATCTGTTAGCCCGTGTTTGAGACCGTTTCATGCCTGTTATACGCCAGTCTAATGCATTAGAGACTGACTGACAAAAGGTTGAGTGATCAAAAAGACAATGGCTGAGCAGGGGTTTGTGTGTGTGTAGGTGGCTTGTAGTCTGACTCTTAAAAGGCCGTGTTTGTGTGTGTGTGAGGCTTGTTTCTGACGCATGTCCCAAGGAGGTCTGGCAGAGCGAGCAGGCTGTCAGCAGTGAGCAAACTGACATCTCTCCCCCCCGCCACCCCGAGAGACAGACAGTACCACAGACAAACAGAGCACATGTCAGGCTGTGACAACTGCTCTGAACACTCTTATTTAGCATTCAAGTGAACCCTGTCCCTTTCTCACATTTGCGCATTCTATTTTTGCTCAACTCTGCGTTGCGTTTCATGCTTGCCAAGCAATATCGCCAATGAAAGGTTTTTTTCTTTTTTTTATGGCAGCGGGTGAGGTTATTTTGCCACAATTTGAAATGGCTAGCAGCTGTGGAAAGTGTTTTTTGTTACTTATTATATTGAAGGATGCGTCATAGAAACAGCTGTTTTCTTTTCTAAGTGTAACACTGCGTCTTAACTGGGCACAAAGCGACAAATTGACAAGCAGCAAAACAAAAGCTCTTCCTTGTTAATCTAAATTTCAAATCATTTCTGCTTTAGAACAATGTTTTTAAAAACAATGTAACCCAGTTAAAATCCCTGTCTTAATACAATCATCTAAATCTGTGGTCATTTCGGTACACAACAATGCTATAGAATCAAGAGTTTGACCTTCATACAAATGAGGAAAAGCTTTTATAAGCTTCCCAAAAGCCTCATCTATCTTGTTTTTCTCTCTTCATTGCCTCCAGTTCTGGATAAATGTTATTATAGGGCATGTGTGTGTGTGTTGGATACTTACCATCCTCAACATCATACTCTCTGTCCGTCCAGTCTTGGCCTGCTATCCTCCATTCAGCCTTGTACTTAAGGATAGGCACTCCTCCATCAGATTTAGGCTCATCAAACTCCACCATTGCTGTGCTGGAATAAGGCTCCACGCGCTCAATAGAGGGGGCCGAAGGAACATCTAGAGAACAAGCGCACACACACACTTATAAGCACACACTGCAATATAACTAGTGCACACACAAGCAGGGCACCACAAAAATGTGAGTGAGGCAATAGACAAACTGAAACAATGAAAGATTGTTATGGGCTTGGGGAATGGTTCACCGAGGGAACTGTTATTGCAGTGGCCTGTACAGTTTCCCCCCGAAGCACGAGTAAAATATCTTTCAGACAAACCAAATTATTGCTTAAAGTGGTCATATCATGAGGAATCCCATTTTCTTTGAACTTCTGAGTTAGATGTTCTATGGAAACTGTACTGTAACTTTCAGAAAAAGGCTTGTTTTGAAATTCTGGAACCTTTGAACATTGGACGGGTACGTAAATGGGCAAACTACTGTTTTCAAACAAGTTTCAAACAGATTGCAATTCCGCTTAGTCGCTGAAATTAGACACGCTCCTCTTTAAATGTGGGGAAGCTTGCCAAACCTTGTGCTGGCCCTGGCTGTGTCTGATGCTCTTCATATCCTCCCCAAGAATCCCAAAGTTAGAAACATGAAGCTGATCATATATATATATATTTTTTTTGTGATCAGCTCCCTGATCATTTAAGTCATTAAGATCTTAACAATTTGAGCGTAGATTGTTTTATAATGCGGTCAGAATATAATGCAGGATTTAAAGGGTAATTCCACCAGTGGAGTAGACAACAATCCCCGTAGTGCATTAGAATGCTCAGCTCCGCAGGCCACTCCCACTACGCCGCCCATCAATGTCGACTAGAGTTGAGCTCCACTCTACGCTACCGCCTGGAATTCATTTCGCACAGTGAAATCAGATAATGCGCGCTAATATAATATGACGACGTAAGAGCATTAAGCCGGCGCCCGCGCCATCAGTCAATGGATTGGCGTGATTCTATCCACAAGTTTCCTACGCCCCATGAGGCCTTGCTTCAAAAGTGGGCGCGTCTTCCGGTTCAAAGTAAACAAAGCGCGACTTGACATACTTCACACTCGTTCATTAAACAGTTGACAGTCATTCAAGTTATAGCGATCAAAACTAGCTAACGATGTGGGAACACAACCTCAACGAAATTCAAAAGTAACAGTAATAACAGTATCTTTACCCTCTGCAGTTACTTGGTTGGGAGTATTATAACATTATTAATAATCAATACTCATCAAGGCATGGTGACAGACAGTTGTGTGAGCTGACAAATAATAAAAATAAAAAATACACACTTAGTCATTGTGCTTTGGAGTTTATTCAAAATTATAAATGAATGTGCTACTTGAATACATTAACTGGCACATTTGGTATTCTGTCAACTCAGGCTTTGATTCTGAGTTTAGGTGTAACATTAGTGGCGAAAAGCCAAACACATGCTGATAGATTTTATAGAATATTAAGAATTTAAACAAATGTACACAGGAAGATTCGTCGTCTTTTGGGAGGTGATGGAAACTAACGTTACAGTCGTTGGCAGGATCACTCTGATTTCGTTTTAGGCTTATGTTCAAAACAATCACGTTTAAGCCACTGAATTAGTTTAGTCCGGTTATACGTACAACCGCGAACAGCACATGTTGTCCCTGAGCTCTGTAACGACATCTCTCATAAAGATTTGCGTCTTTAAATAGTAAAATAATTCTCAGAAAAAAAAGCTAGCCTCTTCGCTAACTAACACACAAAATACCATTGGAATGCTTCTTCCGCCGCCTTACCGGAAGTTTCACCCACTTTATTTTTTACAGGAGCGCCCCTCGGAAACTTGTGGATATGGGCTTCAGACAATCGGCACACACTTTGATGTGTAATTTTACATGTGAAATGCAGCCAAACCTTGAAGCGTTTTGTCTTCGGCATCTTCATTAATCCCCTCGCTATTAGGCGTTAGTCTCACGCGTATTGATAATGACTCCCTGATGCCCGCAAATTCGTTAAAATCTCCCGAAATCTAGAGCGAGTGAGCAAGAGCACGCATGCGAGACAGATCAGACCATATAGTGCGCGCACGAGGGAGAGAGCGAGAGACTTTGCGCGTGTGCGACACAGAGACTCGGGCACCGAAATTTTCTTTTTTATTCAGTCTGGGTATTCCCGTTTACGTCGGAACCAGTTCCAAATTGGCACCGCGTTTCGGTACCCAACCCTTTCCAAAATGTACCCGTCTGCGTATTCAGAACCTTCGTCCATATTTTCAAAAAGTTTCTGCCGGTGAAATCAAACGCACTGTTAAAAATGCTCTAAAATGGTCTGTTAGCACATTAGGTCCAACCCCCTATGTGCTGATTCCCATAGATTTCCCTATGGGAAATCCCCCCCTCTTACACGTCCTCCTACAATGACGTAAAATGACGATTTTTGCGTCATTGTCGGAGGAAGTGAAAAAGGTAAATAGCGGATTTCTCTCGTCTCAGGGGAAAATGAGAGAGTGTTGCACGACCATTCAATAGTATGACTGGATTTCTAACAACAATGCAAATGGGTGGAGTGTCCCTTTAAAAAGAAGCTGTTTTTGAATAGACAAATCATTTATAAAATATTGGATGTAAATCCACAGCAAACTAATTTCTCAAACCAAATATTACAGAGGGAACAGAAACAGAAAGGTAAAATACTGATTCTGCTTAGAGTGAACTAAACAACTGCCCTGCATAAAACAGATTTTTTTTTTCCCTCAACAAAATGGTTTAATAACAATATAACTCAACCTATACATGAGTCTTTTAAAATGAATCACCTTCCCTCACAGAACACATTTACTCAGTAAAACACACTTTTAGAGAAATGTGACTTTATCGCACAATAAAAACTATGGCTGTGGGAGTGTGGTGGCTCTAAAACATGTGAGGTAGAAAAGAGGCGTCACTCCTGCACTGCCTCATCGCATTGAGACTAAATAATCCCCTCACTGCCTTCCACACCATTTCACATCTGCCCCACTTTACAGCGCACCAAAAATACCAGAGGTAGCATCGCATTTAACCGTCAAATCTGCAGCCTGAAAATTATACCCTGCTGTTTTTATTACCCAAGAGTCTCAGCCTAAAAAATACGAGCACAAGCTCTGATCTAAAGCTAAAACATCTCAGTCAGGGGAAGATTTACGTTTCGCCTACCTTGTGTATTATGAATGGGTACCAAGGGGGACTTTAGAAGTGGTTTTCCCGGGTGTTAAGACACCCTTTGTGAGAAATTATTCGTGAACAGCTAATTAGAACCTCAAGAATGACAACAAATGTGTTTGACAGGATGATGAACAAAATTAGTAACTGTTTTACACTTATGAATCACTCTTAACATTCACAAACCTGCTTGAATCAAAATGAAATCCATTGACTCTGTGCCGATGACGTTAGTAGCCGTGCAGTTGTAATCGCCAAAGTCGTTCTGGGACACCGGAGTGACCTGTCAGAGAAAAAAAAGACACGTCAGAGCACCACCTTTCTTCTGACTTAGCTAGCATGACATACAGTAGACATTAGCTGGTTAAGGGAAGCTCATTGAGAGAGAGAGAGAGCGAGAGAGAGAGAGAGAGAGAGAGAATTGGAGCGTACTGTTGCCATTAGCTTCAACAGCAAAATGTGCCATGGAAACAGAGACAGTAGCCACATTTCCATTACAGATTTGCGCAAAACTTTTGCGATATTTCCTAAATGTCGATAAGAAACTAATGTGAAAAGACGGCATTTCCGTTAACTGATGTTATGCGACTGAAAGATATGATAACGGATGTTGGTAGGTTTTACATTTCCAGAATGGGGTTTTGAGCTAAAACTGTTCCAAAACTGTGCTTGCCAATCAATAATCAAACTTCAAGATACTGAGCTTCCTGTGACAACTATTCCTATGCAAAACGTTATATGCAGCATTAAAAAGTCAAGCAAACACTTTAAATATAACAACGGCTCATAATGCTGTGATCTGATCTCAAAAGGCCTCTAAAGAAAATCATAAAATGTAATATTTTTTGGATTTAGATGCACCAGATTATATATTACAATCCGTGCTTTGCGAGACTCTAGAAACATTAGGCTGGTCATTCACAATGTGTCATTAACTTAATTATTGTAATTAATGTTATCGGCCAGTAATGCGAAACCAAAATCAAACAGGGAAGCTGTGACATGTGAAAAGTGAAGCTAACTGAAATGACATGAATTATTCTGCCACACAATAAAAACAAGTCATTATCACATATTCTCAGCACTTGTGGACAGATATGGGCGTGCACTATTTTGTACATAAACAGAAAAACAGAAAAAAAACAATAATTATTATGTTTGCTCAATGCAGTATCGGCAGGCACTATTGCTATGATTTTATATCAAACGCTACAAAGTGCTGGTGTACACTGAAAATGCAATTATTAGTGTCAAACATGTCTTTAGTGTTGAAACTTTAATGAGGGGGCATTTAAATGCTGATGGGTTCGAGTGGCGATGCAGTACCTCTAGGAAGCTGACTGTGGGAGTGTTGTAGATCTTGACATTAGTGGTATTAGCGTTAGGCAGCATCTGGCCGTCACGGAACCATGAAATGGAGGCGTCCGGGTGAGCGAGGGCCTGGCAGGTGAGGTTAGCCGGATTACCCTCCCAGGTGTACACCGCCACAGGGCCCTGGATCTTTGGAGCATCTGTAATTATACGCAGTGTCAGCAAAGTGCAACCAACACAAGGACTATTATAGTGATGGACCTTGGGGCAAAAATATGATGGCTTCCAGCTGGCATATATTAACCATCATTCCCTCAAATAGCTTTCAGAATTGCGATTGCTGATATCTGCTATTACAGAGTACAGACCAGGCGGAAGCTCTAGCATGAAGTCTATTGTCGGTTGTGAGTGTTGCTCACCTTAGCTAACTAGACTTTCCACTCCAGGATTGATACATCCAGTTGAGTAATCACATTTCCCATAAAGAAGTCGTGATAGGAAACATAACCACTCAAATCTTATCGCTATCTCTGGACCACAGGCTGCAACACCGCTGCTTAGATAATCTGGACACCCCAATGTCTCTCTTTGGGTGAAACAGGCAATGAAATCTTATCACAACAGTGGCTGAAATGAATATTGGGAAAGGTAAGGCTCGAACCGATTTCATGTGCAATTTTAGTGGAACAAGTTTTTATTGTGTATGTAAGTAAACGGCAAAACTTTGCATAAAGATGCTAACTGATTCGACATGGCATGTCTTTCCTATTGGCTGCCACACAAGACTCCATTTTTACTGTGAAGCTGAGCTCTGTTTCAATAAAACAACACATAAAAAATCAAGCAAAACTCTTTTAAATGAAACCTTGAAGTAAAAAGTGGTAAATAAAACACAGAACAAGAGACTCCAGCTCAGGCCGAAAGTGTCTAAGTGTCTGAACAATCTCATCTAGGATCATTTGAAGCAGACAAAGCACCTTTTCTTATCGCTAATTACTGCGAAACGCTCCATGCACTCAACCAAGAAGCTGATTACTCACAAACCGCACTGTGGCAAACTGCATTTCCACACAATTTCTATCAATTGCACATTGCGATGCTATCTCAGGAACGGGAGAAGATTTTTGGGGCAAGAAAAATTAATCCAATTAGGCTTTCATTGCACTTCAAGCTTCACTCCCTCCCACTTTGCTGAATTAGATTCTGGGAATGCTTTAAAATGCACAAGCAGATGAAAATAACTTTAAAGCTAGCTTTACTGTAATTCTCCACCTGGCAAAATGGCACAAAAGTGCACTCAGCCAACTGCAGTAAACATAATCTGATAAAAAATAAGCGTTTGCTCCGAAAATTGAGTTTTAAGAATGTGATGGCAGTATTTCATTTCATATGAAGAGCTCTAAATGTAAGAAAAAAAAGCCTGGGAATCGACTTTAATTTGTTTGAAACAGACATATAAAAAAGCCCTCAAACCATCTATTTCTATCAGTTTCTTTTGTTACAAACTCAAAAAACAAGTAAAACAGCATCTTTGAATATTCTGGTCAAAAGAGCAGTTCCATGCTGTTGAAACTGGTTTATGCTGGCCTGGGGGCGATATTTTTTTCCCCAGGATGGTAGGGGAAGACTCATCAATATTCATTAGGGAACTCATCCCTGATTGGTCTGATGACCTACCTCTAACCCCACCCCTAAACCTACCCGTCACTGAGGACTGACGACCTACCCCTAACCCCGCCCCTAAACCTACCCGTCACTGGGGTTACGACCAATCAGGGATGAGTTCCCTAATGAATATTGATGAGTCTTCCCCTACCATCCTGGGAAAAAAAATATCGCGGCCTGGGGCGGGTTTACCTGGTGGATCTACTGTTGGTTAAAAAGTTATTTAGTTAAGACCCTCACAGGTTTTGTTCACACTGATTGGATTATTTGTGTATCCTATTGGAATCTGATCTAAATTACTGACTGTCCACACTGTATCACAACTGTTTGCATCGGATTTGTGCGTCCTGTGGCACTCCTTAGTTTTCTGGAATCTAAGCATTAGTTTCTATGGAAATGACGTTGCGTCAGTAGATATACGTCAAAAACAACAACAACAATGTAGACGGGTTTTCAATACAGATGTTGTCTTTTTTACAACATGAAAATGTGTAGCCACCTCACTGGACTACTGTCCGCTTTATATCGTGCTGTCAGTAACATGTCTCCATTATAATGTAATTTACTGCTCGACCTGCACTGCAACGTACGGAAGCCAAACAATCAAGAAAACAAGAAAACACTGCACTGCATTAGTTGAATTCTGAATAACGACTTATTATGTCGTAATAACGAGATATTTTGTCGAAATAACGACTTATTAAGTCGAAATAACGAGATCCGAAATAACGACTTATTAAGTCGAAATAACGAGATCCGAGATATTATGTCGTAATAACGACTTAAGACGAAATAATGAGATATTATGTCATAATAACGAGATTTTCTGTCGAAATAATGACTTAAGTCTTAATAACGAGATATTATGTCATAATAACAAGATATTATGTTGTAATAACAAGATATTATGTCGTAATAACGAGATATTATGTCGAAATAACAACTTATTAAGTCGAAATAAGGAGATAAGTTTTCTTTCTTTTTTTTCTCACCTTGCGGTTCAGGGCTTCCATAGCAATGCCTTGACGTTTGTTTTCTAATGTAAAATTTCTCCAGTGACTTTCAGGATGTTTCCTCTAACAATGTCTGACATGTTTACGTTTTACATGGCATGAGAAAGTCACAGACTTAAAACGGATTTGTAAAAAGTGCATCTCATGTGATTTTTTCGCTTTTCACACTAAATATGATCGGATTCCAATCGGATATGCACAAAATTCGGATTTGGCCTAAACGAGGCTATAGATCCAGCATCCAAAACACAGTTTTGCTGGTGTTCTCAGCAGGATAGTAGCCAAGAAAGACCAAAGGAACATTAAAAAAACACAATGTCCACTTTTTGAGTTGACACATTTGCCTCGGCCACAAGACGAATAACCTACAAAGGACAAAGAGAGAAGTTAAGTGTTTAGCTTACAGCGCACTTCCAGGTACATGCTCTGGATGTCCTGACCAATGGAGTTGCGGGCAGTGCAAAGGTACTGGCCGGCATCGGTGAACTTCACGTACTTTAGAGTCAGAGAGGACACACGGGCATCACTGCGTACAATCACGTTACCATCCAGACTCTAGGGGGAAAAAAAGAGAAGAGAGAGTGAGAGTAAGAAAAAAGATATGTAAAACAGAAGAAAGTTAGTCAAAGTTAAACCTAACTGGCGGGGCTAGAGGCACAATGGGGGGCTTTAAAGTGATAGTTCACCCAAAAATAAAATGAAAATCAAAAATGTCATCATTTTCTCCCCCTTATGTTGTCATTTTCCACTGGAAAACCAAGGAAAGGTTTTCCAGTGAATAACAACTTTAGGTCTGTTGGACAGGTTTGGAAAGATACGAGGGAGAGAAAATCATGACATTTTTTTCATTTCTTCAGTGAAAAATGATCCAGATTCTCTATATCATTCCTTTACACAACTACAGATGCATTGAATGGAGCGGGACGGTATTTCTTTATTTTTTTAGCCTTTGTCTTTGGGCTCAGGGGGGTATTTTGGGAGACAGTGAGGCAGGGATCAATAATGAAGTGGACCACACGGCAGGGGCCACTTTAAAGCATTTTCTTCTCAAAGCCTATTTAAACAGCACAGCTGGGACAATCTGCTAACAGTTTTCCTCGTCGGCTCCATCCCGCACACGAGCGCATGCTCTTAAGCTCATTCTGCATTTACTCTGCTGCCCATCTCTGGTTACTATGGTGATCTGAGATCCTATGGTTGAAAGGGCTTTGAATTCGCCAATCAATAGTAGTTCCAGCTGTTACAATGAAAACCCGGCATGCGCTTCATCGTGGCTCTGTGTTGTTTGCATTTCAAAGCCTTTCTTTATAGCTTTCTTGGTAGTTTCACTAGATTTTAAAAGCAACTAAAAAGGCCCTTCAGATCAGCTGCTAAAAGGAGAAAATTCACATCTTTACTAATAATTATTAAACATGTAGCTTTTATGACCTCATGCTTATTGAGAACCACATGGAATCTTTGTACTTTTCCTTTGTCACACCAAATAACCATTTATTTTTCACATGGCCAAGTAAAGGCAAAAAAAGTGTTGAAAAAGTAAATGGTGACAAGTTAAAGGACAGATGTAGGGCCGTAATTTAACAATCTATATGCATGGTTCAAGTTCACTTAGGGCGTGTCCCAATCCACTTTTGCTAGTTTAACGACGGGAAAAATGGTCGGTGCACCAGGCGAATGGTCTAAAAGGGTTGTCCCTATTCTCTTAATGAGTAATGGGTGTGTTTTGGGATTTAATTGAAATAAAATAAACTGCGCCATTGACTTTAGACCAGGTTTCAGTTGGCCAATGGCGCAGTCTTTCTGATGTCTCAAAATAGCAACGCGCCAACAATGTGCCAGAACACACCTCGTTTTCAGACCAGCACGCCAATGGCCTGTAGAGTTTCCAACTAAAGCTCTAAGATGCCACGCATTATTATTATTATTATTATTAAAGGAAATGCAAGAACATTACATTTGTTGTTTCTCAAGAGCATGACTTTCTTAACAGGTGAAAAATAAATAAGGAAACATTTGGTCTTTTATTTTGGAGTCGGTCTATAAATGTGTCTTTCGGTCACCATGATTTTGCCAAGACAGACATGTTCCTGGATCAGCATATTTGGTTGATTCTGGAAAAAAAAATGGGTGTCTGAAAATTTAGCTCTACCCTGACATAACCTAAACATAAATTGTCCCAAAAATCTGAGGGGAATGATAGATGAATAACACAGCACCGAACCCTAGTTGTCTAAACTGTAAACTTGTCCCTCAAATCTGATTGGTTGATAGGAACATTGATCCAGGAACATTGTGTTGGTGAAATCATGTTCACTGTGTATTAAAGTGAATGGAATGGTGAGATCTTAATATATATATCAATATTTTAATATATGGTTTATTTATTATTCCATATTTATAATAATTATAAATTTATTATATTTCTTTTGGCTACACATTTACAGTTAAGCACCTTGTGAATGGCACTGATAAAAATGGATATGTTATGTGTCAATTAACCATATGTTACCCATACTCTATGTTAGTGACATGTTGGTTCCACGTTGTAAACTTCAAAAGAAGAAATCAAATGGAAATCCACAGATTAATGACACTGATGTAATTTACAAGAAATTAATTGGCTGAGTGCATCCGACTTGCATAACGTGACCCATGTTAATCAGAGAGTGGAGCCTCTTCCATGACATGTTTAAATAGATTTATTAGTCATGCCAGCTGACACCATATTACTCAGTTAACAAACACGAGTTGCTCCTATGCTGAAGCCACGATAATCACATGGATACTCAATCCCGTTGATTAGCTACAGGACATTTAGGAAGAAAAATGTGCAGCTGTCACACCTTGATATTAACAATAAGCACTGTTGACATTCATGAGCAGTATTCAATGCAGCAGAATGAATAAAATAAGCCTGTGAGCGCCAGATGCGCTCTACATTTTTCGTGCTTAGCGGAGCGTACTTTGTTTTACCTACGCCACGACGTTGTTATTGGATATACATGCGTACTGAATTGTAAATGGAATGCTGTTTTGAGCTTTGACTGCAAACAGCTCAGTGTATGAGTCACATTTTTCTTTAAGTGAAGCTACTGCAAAATGTGAACATTAGCGTGTACCTTTCATCATTCCCTGACAGCATGAAAAAGACAGCCGGGAAATAAGACGTTTCTGAAACCTGCAGTGGCACTTCATTTATAAAGTGCCTGTTCAATGGTCAGTGAGAAATTTGACTGCGAGCGGAATGGAGTGTGCGCGGCGCTGGAATCCAATCAATTCACAAACTTGATTTAAGGTGTGGTGGCTTAGTCACGATCCGAGGGATTGAGTGCTTTAAGTAAGAACCAGGGTCTCGACCATAAATTCCATCCTGCTTGTGCCTCACGTTCAGAGGGCTGTTAGCATGCAGGTCTGTTGAGCGAGTCCCCTCCCTTTGCATAGTAATTGACAGTAAGCCAGCAGACGCAGCGTCTCTCCTGTTTTATGTGTGTACGTAGGGCTGGTCGCACATAAACCTTCACGATTTCTTTGAACGTTAACCTTGAACGCTTCCGGGAAATCACGTTGTGCCTCTACCTCCTCGTCGGTTGTCAAAGAAGCGAGGAGAGAGAGAATGTTTCGGCTTTACGTTTCAGCACAGAAATGCAATCGAGGGCTGGTGCGTATCTTATCTTGGCTAATAGAGAACACAGGAAGCCCCATTCTGCCCATCCGTTTCTCCTGAAAGAGCAGACAACCAACGTTGGATCAAAACCAGAGCTCACATACAAGGTCTTTTGTTTTGTGTGAAAAAAGGGATTTTTTATTTATTTTCCCTTAGGAGAAAATAGTAGGTGATGGCAATCATATTTGTATGACTGCACTGACAGAGACAACATTAAAAAAGGTGTTGCTGACGGTCTGTGAGGAAAGCAAGTCAAACGGTGTCCTGCGCTTCACATTTCACGCTAGCACTCTAGCACAGACAAGATGGATCACAGTGCGTCCAAATGCGGATGGAAATAAATCGGAACTTTTGATAAAGATGGCCTAGCTTGAATTGATACATGTTGAGAAATAGTTGCCCTGAGGTGGTCTGCAGAAGTAAAAGTCTAGACAGTGAGCAGGGCGGACATTCCAAGATTGAATGAAAATTAAATTTGAAAAAGGTCGTACATACCGGTTACTGACATTGTTACTATTATAGAGAGGAAATTATATTTGAACTTCTAGAAGGGCTGTCAAACTATCAGAATTGCAGAAATCAATGGAAGTGAAATTATTCATGATTCACACACATTATATATATATGATTAGCATAATCTTGCATGATTATTAGATACTATAACACATTAAAATTGATTCACTGCCATTTGAGTATGTCTGAAAATCAGATCTGTAATAAGAGTGAACTATAAAGTTTATTTTTTAGGCTTAACTTTGTGCTCATGTTTGATTGTAGATGATTATTAAAGGGGTGATGAACTGAGAAATCAAATTTTCCTTGAGGTTCATCATATTATAAGAATATCCTGTAAGTTTCAGAACTGAAAATGTCCTTGTTAGTCCAATAAAAGCTTTTATTGACCCCAGACTCAGCAAACGACTCGTTTTTTTAAAGTGGGGAACTATGACGTCAAAGAGGATAAAACACCACCAAGAAGATCAACGCCTACTTCAACATGGCCTGTTTAGCCCCGCCCACCGATTCGCACATTACACACATAGCTAAATAACATATACCTCGTAATGAGCTCGAGCTACTGAGCAATACAGAATATTGTGCAGCCTGGTTGTGGAAGAAGACAGTCGCTGCATAAGCTTCCTCTGGATTCCAATAGGACTGCATGGTTAAACTTTATTTTTAATAATGTTCCAGCTGATGTGGGTAAAACATTGTCCGTCTGTGTGAACAAGACTGGATTTGCAGACCTATTAAGAGTAAAGAACGGTGCCGTGCCGTCTATATTGAACCTGACAGGAATGGTGCAACACACGGACTCTGGGTCGAACATGTATGGGCGAATCATTCCGGTTGCCATTTTACAACATTGGACGTTTTCAAAACAATTTCCCCCTTGTGCACCGACGAGGTGAGTTAAAACTCATTATAATATGCAAACTGTTATCCACTCACACACTGTTTAAAAATATTGTTGGTTTAACTTAAAAAAGTAAGTAACCTGATTGCCTTAAAATTTTAAGTTGATTAAACTGGAAGAAGTGAGTTAATACAATGAAGGAGAATGATTTAATCATCAGAAACTCAAAATTATATGTTATCTGAACTAAATAAATTATTTAAGTTGATTTGACAAAAGAAAAAAAATGTTGTGATTACTACACTGTAAAAAACTAATGTTGGTTTAACTTAAAAAAGTAAGTAACCTGGGTTGCCTTAAAATTTTAGGTTAATTGAACTGGAAAAAGTGAGTTAACAATGAAGGAGATTAATTTAATCATCAGAAACTCAAAATAATAAGTTATCTCAACTAAATAAATTATTATAAAGTTGATTTGACAAAAGAAAATACGTTGTGATAACAAATCTTGAAAATATTTTTTTACAGTGCAGCAGTGGGCGTTTACTTCCAAGTCTTCAGTGCGAGACGCCCATAAAAATCGAGCGTTTTTGAGCTAGGCTCAAAACTAGGGTAGAAAATAGACTATTACTTATTCATTTTGATATTTTTGAATGCAAAAACCAAGCGAACGCTTGGAATGCTTAAAAAGCCAGTTCATGACTCATTTAAAGCTACTAAAGTTGTCCAACTGTGAGCAGGCAGTGGTTTTCTCTTTTTCTGGTTAATGTTCGTGACTGATTAATAGTAGATAAATAATAAGAGAATGGCAGGTCCATTTACATTTAAAGACAGAAGTATTTGATATTCTGCCACATCACACATACATTTTATTTGTTCCACCTGTTTGCATTTGCTGAAGACATATCCAACAACTGTGTTTCCATTAACATCTCGGCATGATGGGCATTTTGAACAAGAAGTGCATTTGAGCGTTTGTGCATGAAGCGCTACGTGGAGGCATGAATGCACTTCACAGCGCACGCGCACAGTAAGTGTGAGCAATGAACATTCCAAGTCAGTAACTTGAAACTAGAGTCAGTGCTGTTCATAATGTAAAAAGATTGTACTCTTGAATTTTAAGCATTTAACTTCTAAAACTCTTGATGCAGTAATTTCCTTGTCTTTGATTCTAGAAGAAAAGCGCATGTTTAAAGAACCATGGTGTTTTTTATCTGTACTCCTGAGGATTAAAAACATGAAGTGATGTGTGGGCAATCCCATAACTGCGGCTTTTCATCTCAGCACATCAGATAAACAGTCCTTCCCACACAATCCATATGCATCTGAATCATTCAGCAGTGCAGAACACAGATGAATTCTTTCTCTGACAGATGAATAAAGCAAGTAAAAGAGTAACATTTCAGATTCAAGCTTTAAATCACTTGCTCATACTGTGCATCTACGGCTTAAGTCATTATGACATCAGAAAGAACCTATTTACTTTATTCTTAATGCAAGTTCATGGTCTATTGTGGATGATTGTTCTTAATAATCATAATGCATTTTCCCTTTCCACTGATGTCACTTAGGCCATGCAAGCCTTTGGATGATGTTCACTAACAATAACCAGGCAATATTTTAGCTAACACATTTGGTCTGGTATGCATCTTTTCCCAACTACGAATGGATCTAGTCTACAAAATACATAGTTTAACATAAATACGCCCCATTACAGACTAAATTGTGTTTCACGTTGATTTTTTTTATGTTATTGTATTAATCTTTGACATGTGGCGTACAAGTTTTAGTATGGCATAAGTGAGGGTTAGTATATTTATGTTAACAGTAGCTAGTGCTGTCTGAAGCTGGAGTTGGTTATAGCCGTGTTATAGCTAGTGTCTCCTTTAGTGCTGATACATTCCCTTGTCTGAGTCTATGGGAGAACACTGAGTGTTGGCTCATACTCTAAAGAAATACCTGGCATGTTCCAAGGCTTGAAGCCCTTGCTCTAACACCCTCACTTTATTTTCTTCCCCAGTCCCTTGAGAAAGTTTGTCCAAGGGGAATTCATAAAGGAAAAAAGTATTCTACTAAGCAATGAGAAGACATAAAAACTTCACAGCTTAGAAAGACCTAATAGGATTGTCAACATTTCTATTTACAGAAGCTATCCAAAAAAAGAGCAATATGCTGCCTATAAAGAAAAGAAATGACAATCATTGTAGACAAGAGATGCCATTTCATCAGATGTGATGTGTGGGTGTGTGTGTCTACAGGATTTTCGAGGGTAAAAGTGAGCCAACACTTGATGTTCTAGAGTGATAAAGGGCTTCTCTAGGATTAGTGAGCATCCTGGCTACGTTTGAAGCAGCCCTACCTTGTGTTTCTCAGGTCGAGTCCATGAAGCCTGGGAGGATAGATACATGTAAAGCAACACATGACAGAAATGAGAAAAAGCCTTAAAAAGAAAAATCAAGCAGGCTCTCAGTTAGACATCACACATGCACGTTATTTAAAGCTGACGGCTTGTGAAGCTCCAAGCTCACAACTTGACTTTAATTATATATGTTGATGCAGTAATTTCATATATCTCATATATACATTTAGTAATTGTACCATACCAATAGGCAATAGACTTATAAAATACTAAATAATAAACTGACTTTTATTTTGTATTTGTTTACAGATAAATGGGTGACTTAGTTATTCTCATGGAGTTTCCCGATGTGAGTTGTCCTAGCTGTATTTAAAATATTCATAATTACTTTTGCCGGTTCTTTGTGACAGCTTTAAGGTGCTTTATTGGCAGTGCCACCCTTACATGTTACATGAACACGTCCCTACCGCATCACCCACCAGAATAGGCCTGTTTTTTTTGTATGTGTGTTAAGGATTTGTTTACTGTGTGTGATTCATTTAATGTAAAACAAATTCACTGCTAGTTGTCTTGCAGTTAATTTAAAAAAAAAAAACATAGAGCAAGTAGCTAATCAGTGTCTGCTCGTTTATTCAAACTAAGTTGTTCTATAACAAATGAAAGTCGCAACGCCCCGACCCTGACGACGGTTATGTTACGAACTGTCACATTTTACTTACTTCATAACCGTCATTACCAATTCTGAAACCGGCACACCCCTAATGCTACGTTCACACCGGACGCGAATACCGCGTCAGGCGAGAATGATTTTAATGTTAAGTCAATGCAAAGACTGCGGCGCGAATGAGGCGTAGACGCGAATACGCCTCGTTTGGCGTCAAGTTCGCGCGATTTGAGCATCTGACGCATTAAGGCGAATGATTTAGTTACTGCTATTTATGCACTCACACGTTTGACGCGAATTCACGCTTGCCGCTCGAGTTGAAATATCTGAACTTTGGCGTCAATTCGCGCCACGTTAACCAATCAGGAGCCTAGCTGCTTGCTCACATGGTGAAGTATCTGGATGCTTCAATAAATTCTTTTGTAATATGACTAAATGCATGGTTGGATTCCAAACGGTTCGCCTCCGAATGGTCCAAAGGACACAAATACGGCGACGATGATCCCCCGCCGCTGTTCAAGCTCTCCAGAGCAAATACAGTGCGGTGAATCTCTCGATGAATGCTCGATCAACATTAAAAAAGATGGCCACCAACAGGTTTCGATTTTGACGCGCGAGATGCACGTAAATTTCACTTCAAACTTGTGATGTTTACGCACGTCAATTTCGCTCTTGACGCACGAATTAACACAAAGTGGTCAAGCGTCAAACTAGATGCGGTAGACGGGAATTTGATGCGCTATTTGCATCCGGTGTGAAAGTAGCGTAAGTGTGACAATTTATTTTTTAACCTGAACAAAAATCCTGGATGGAAAGGGACACATATGAAGAGTTCATATGAAATTTTCTTCTAGAATGATCATTTTTATCAAGCTTGTATATTTAAGTTCAGTGATTTCACTTAAATGGCAATGATAATTACCTATTAATTGTTATTTAAGCGAAATTACTGAAGTGTCATTTGAAATTTTCTTCTAGAATGATCATTTTTATCAAGTTTGAATATTTAAGTTCAGTGATTTCACTTAAATGGCAATGATAATTACCTATTAATTGTTATTTAAGTGAAATTACTGAACTTAAATATACAAGTTTGATAAAAATCATCATTAAAGAAGAAAATTTCAAATGGCATTTAGAGGCTTTTGCATCTGAACTCTTCATATAGGCTATTTGCCGGCTAGTAAATCATATGACTCAAACATGAGTGGATGCTAAAACATCCAGATGACATGCATATTATCTTGATAATGATGAGAAAGGTCAGATTTCTCCTTCCCTCCAAAAAAAAAACAAAAAAAAAAAAACAATCAAAACACCACAGCCATAATGTCAGTTCATCAATAATTAATAACACAACAGGAATATATTTGAAATGATGCACACATTGACACCAAAGCACTATGTCCAAGATCTACTGCCTGTGATGCTAACTGTGATCACCTCATTCATTTTGTCTATGTCCCATAAGTCACAGGCAGCAGCTTTGAGCCTTAACGAGAGCCATTCTTCCATTTGACAACATAGATCCCTGTATTCTTTGAACGGGACAGTGATGAGTAGTTTTCAGTGAAGGTTTTTATACCTTCCAATCATTTGTTAACCAGAAATCAATCAATGGCGTTGCCATCTGGAATTGCATCGCCGAGAATTTGCATGACTCACAATAGAGGCTGTTGAGGACGTGACTCCAACCAGTGATAAATCAAACAGACATGAATAGCAGACAACCTACCCATTTGACTTATGACAGGATGACAACGATTCCATGAAAGCTTGCTCATCATGAAGGCAGCATTCTATTATTTCGACCGCTAATCACACAGTTTGGGAATCTGTCGCAGTCTCAGATAAGTGGGATTTCAGGATCCATTATGAAATCGGACACTGATCAAACAGAGTAATTTGTGATTAAAGAAACTACTGTAATCTGCTGAGTTCCAGCTCAATATTTAAAACCGTTAGGTTCACTTGAACAAAGCACAGCATTATTTAAACCACTTTGTCTCTGAGTGAATCAATTGAGTCGTTTGTCGGATGACAGTTAAAAGTAGTCACATTTAGCCAGACTTTGAATAACTGCATCTGTCTGGTCAACTTTGCAGCTTATTCTGACAAAGTACTGCCCACTTTGAAAGGATGAAATAGTTTGATTGATATCTGAAGAGAAATAGATATAAATGCATGAAAACTGTTTCCACCTCAGAGTACAATTTTACTTATTAAATATTTCTCCTAATTAAAAGTTTAAAGGAACACTCCGACTTTTTGGGACTTTAGCCTATTCACCTTACCCCCCAGAGTTAGATAAGTCCATACATACCTTTTTCATCTCCGTGCGTGCTATAAGTCTGTTTGACGCACCCACCGCTAGCCTAGCTTAGCACAAAGACTGGATGTGAATGGTTGCAGCTTTCATACTAATCCAAATGAGTGGCAAAATAACGCAAACGTTTTCCTATTTACATGTTGTGATTTGTATAGTCACATAATGTACAAATAACAAAGTCAAATGAGACACAGACATCTTTTAACCGTATAAAACCTGGGAACTATTCTCTGAAGGCGAAGCACTGCTACTTTGACGGCGTAATAACCGCATCACCGGAGACACGCCGTGGTGAGGAGCGGAGAGTTCGCTCGGTGTTTGGGTAATAGAGTCAGCAATTTATAAATAGTAAAAGCGTAGTTTAGAGTCATGGGTTTTCGCTCTATTGTAAATAGCTGCGACTGTAAACAGGGGAGGTAATCATGTTTCACAGAATTCCAACTAAAAACGCTGACTGGATGAAGAAATGGCTAACTTACTCTGGATATTTATCCAAACACACCTAAGATTATCAAGGGACATTATGTTTGCTCGGTACATTTCAATGAGGACGACTATTTTGAAAAAATGGAATTTGCCACACGGACCATAATGTGCTGAAGGATACGGCCATCCCATCGATAGCACAGACAGGACAAGTGGATCACCTGCGGCTGAGGTAAGTGTTCCGTTATGTTTTTAGATGACCTACTGTAACAGTGCCATTAGCCAGATCTAATGTAACGTTAGTGACACTATTATATGATTAGGGTATGAATATGTTTTTATCTTGATGCGGTGCGGACGCGCTTGGGAAAAAAAAACGAGCACGTTCACCGCGTTGAACCTGCGCGCGGCGCGCCTAGCCTAAATTTGAAATAACCATGGAAATAACGAACTTGAGCGTGCAAAAGGGTACGATAGGCTGTGAGTTCATTGTGCAAAAACAATTTGTGCTATTACTTTCCCCTTATTCTATCCTATAGTAATGCAATACTGTATATTATATAGGCTACTGTTGAATACATTTGGTTCAGCTAATAAATTGAATTTAAAATATATTGATTCCTGTAATAATAATTATTTATTCATGTGATATTTATAAATCTGGGTGCGTTTTTGGTTGGAAATCAATGAAACATGGTACTGTATTACCTGGTCTCCCCTGTTTATTGTCACAGCTCATACAATAAAGCAAACACCCATGATAAACTATGCTTTTCTATCTAACGTTAGTAATTGCTGACTCTTTATTCCAACGCTGAGCGAAACGAACTCTCTGCTCCTCGTCACGGTGCGTCTCAGGTGATTGATATCACTCTGCCCAAGTAGCAGTGCTTCCCCTTCAGAAGTATAGTAAATATAGTATTTATACGGTCAAAAGATGTCTGTGTCTCAAATGGCCTTGATATTTGCACACTCTGTGACTATACAAACCACAACATGTAAATAGGAAAACGTTTGCGTTATTTTGCCACTCATTTGGATTAGTATGAAAGCTGCAACCATTCACATCCAGTCTTTGTGCTAAGCTAGGCTAGCGGTGGGTGCGTCAAACAGACTTATAGCACGCACGGAGATGAAAAAGGTATGTATGGACTTATCTAACTCTGGGGGGTAAGGTGAATAGGCTAAAGTCCCAAAAAGTCGGAGTGTTCCTTTAAGGGAAAGTGAAGTGAAGTGTAGCCAAGAATGGTGTCCCTTAGAATTTGTGCTCTAATTGTGACTTTATTTTTCACAATATGTCTTTTTTTTATGCCAAATTTACTAAAGAGGGAGAGTGCAGAAAAATATTTTTACCTGCTTACCGCTTTGAATCAAGCTAAGGCAAGCAGATAGTGTTGAACACTGGCTGGTTATGTATTTTGGATCATTTTTAACCCAAACAAAAGCTACGGACTGCAGCTTTAATATTTTAAAATCTATCTCATTATCACCATATTTATTTATTTTATAAGGTGGTTACAGGCTTGCATAGAAAACTTGAAAGAAAAAAAAAAGAACAGAACTTGCGAGATAGAGTAAGTGCTAGCCATTTTTTTTTTTTGGTCAAATATG